CTTTCCCAGCTACACCCTTTGTGCATCACCCACCTTCAGCCAACCCAGTCAGTGATTCTCTTGAGTCTCTCTTTCTGTTAATTTTAGCCCCAACTAGTGAGCCAACACGTTTGACAGTCAGTGATGTGACAGACACCACATGCAGCCTTAAGTGGTTCGCCCCAGACAGGATCGGAGCCGGAGGCGTGGATGGCTACGTTATTGAATACTGCAAGGAAGGAGGTGATAAAACCATGCATTATGGTTATATTATTATCATTTGAACATTGATGGACAATTTAAAGACATTCTGCAATCAAATTATAATTCCACAGAGACAATAAGGGAATTAATGTCTAAAAATATGAGTATCATAATAAAAATTAACAGAGAATAAATAAATGAGCAAACTGATTTAAATCCCACTCTCTGTGATTTAATGTTTTTTTTATTTTAGATACTGAGTGGGTGGTGGCAAACCAGGATCTTTGTGAGAAGCAGTCATATGTGGTGCGTGGCCTCCCCGTGGGAGAGAAGATCAACTTCAGGGTGGTGGCAGTAAACATTGCGGGACGCAGCCCCCCTGCTACAATGTCACAGGCCGTCACCATCCGTGAGATCGTGGGTGAGTCACTCAGGTTTAGCTGTGAACAGACGTGAGTCAGAAAGTGTCTGTAAACATATTTATGGATGATTTGATCATGTTCATTTTTAGCATTTTGAGGTGACTTTTATAGAGCTTATTATGGTTTAAGTAAACAGATGCTTAACACTGTCATAGTGTAGCACCATGTATTTTAATCAGATGTCTTTTCCTGCTTTAGAACGTCCAAAGATCCGCCTCCCTCGTGAGCTGAGAACAAAGTACATCAGGAGAGTAGGAGAAAAGATCAATCTCACTATCCCCTTCCAGGTAAGAAACACACCTTAGCTAAGGTTTTGAATCTGTCAGGTCATTTACAAAAGAATGTACAGTTAGAGTGCCCCTTCCATGACCATCTTTACTTTAGTGAAAATGATAAAGCAGATCCTGGGATGTATTTTACAGTGATTTTGTTTCTATTTATGCTCCATAGACTTCAAACAACACTGAAAATTCTGAAAGCAAAACAGACACTTTGTAGAGGTCATAGCTTTCTACAAAAAACCTGAAGAAAATGTGTTTTATCCTGAATGTTTTGTCACATAGGGCAAGCCACGCCCCAACGTAACCTGGTACAAGGATGGTCAACCCATTGACCCCAAGACGGTCAATGTTCGTAACTCCAATGTAGACAGCATCCTCTTCATCCGCTCAGCTGAGAGAGAGCACACTGGAAAATATCAGCTTGTTCTACAGATTGAGAACATGGAGGACAAAGCCACCATCGATATCAGGGTTGTTGGTAAGGCTGACTTATTTCAGTTAGATTTTTTATTTACAAAGTTTTTCTTTGAAAGACAAATACACTTAGACAATGTAAAATTTGACACAGTGTCCAAACTGAAGTGTATTTATGTGTTATGACACTTATGTTAAATCCAAACAGAAAAGCCTGGGCCTCCTCTGAATGTGCGGGTGACAGACGTCTGGGGTTTCAATGCAGCGCTGGAGTGGAACGCTCCAAGGGACGATGGCAACTGTGAGATCATTGGATACACTATAGAGAAGGCTGACATGAAGACCAAGGTGAGGGAGACAAAGAAGGAGCAGTGATTCCAACCTTGATCACCGCTACAGTAACCAGCTACAATGTCCAGTTATGACAGTGGTTGCTGACACTCAGCTTATTCTACTATATGCTTGATTTGAGGCCACTTTAAAATTTTATTATAATATCACATTTTCCTCTTCCCAGGAATGGTTCAAAATTTATGAACATAACAGGCGGACAAACTGCACAGCTTCAGATCTGATCATGGGCAATGAATATATGTTCCGCGTCTACAGTGAAAACCTCTGCGGCCTTAGTGAGGAGCCGGGCAACAGCAAAAACAAAGCTGTCATTTCCAAGACAGGTGAGACAATGTGTGTATTTGTAGATATGTATGTGGGCTGAGTGTTTGTAGAGTAAACTGATGATATCAAGTAAAATGTGATGTGATTTACTGGGGTTGACCATGATTCCCTGCCCTGGCACCTTTCTCCATAGGCCTTCAGTACAAGCCACCCTCCTACAAAGAGCAAGACATGTGCTGTGTGCCCAAGTTTACTCAGCCCCTGGTTGATAGATCTGTAGTGGCCGGTTACAGCACTGCCATCAGTTGTGCTGTCAAAGGCTACCCCAAGGTAAATGGACATATTAAAATTGGGTAATCGCTTAGCAGCAGCATATCTAAGCAGGGGGCTTATGGGAGTTGTATTGCACCTGATTTTTTTATGACTGGACTCTTTTGCATCTTAGCCAAAAATTATCTGGATGAAGAACAAAACCATCATCGGTGACGATCCCAAGTACTTGATGCTGAACAACCAAGGAGTGCTGACCCTCAACATTCGTAAACCAAGCTCCTTTGACGGAGGCAAATACTCCTGCATGGCTGTCAATGAGCTGGGCAAGGACGAAGTGGAGTGCAAAGTGGACGTCCGAGGTAAGAACATGGGAGAGGAGGGAGGTGCAAGGACAGAAGGAAGATGAGAGGGAAGGAACGGAGGAGGACGTGGAGGTCTGAGTGCAAGATCAGTCTCGCTGGCTGTTGCTCAATACAGATGGTTTTTAGGAGGCTGGTCTTGTTTATGTGTGTACAGTGACTGATGTGCAACACCAATTAGTTTGAATGCCGATATGAACAAGAGCTACCTTGATCCATATCAAAACATATCACAGCACAATACATTTTATTACATTTGGGCTTTTCTTAAAAACAAAATCTAACTTTAATTCTTCATTTTGTCTTCCCACAGTTCCAACATTTGACCATGGGAAGTGAGAAAACAGCAATGAATGTGAAATAATGAACAGTGAATGTCAGTATGTTGAATACACACTGTCAATTGTGAACCCAATAAAATTTAGTGATGCCTGCTATAAATAAGTGTTTATTTTAAATACACTTAATTTCTCTGTTAAAATACTTTTCATTGCTATTCATTGACATGCTGTATAATCTTGTACAAACATAATCCACAGAAGAAGAAGTAAGAAACACACACCCAATCAGAATCTAAAATTTAGAGCTGTTCCCACAGCTGAGAAGCACCTTTCTGTGGAGGTCCTCTGCACTACACCTCCCTGGAGTAGTGTGCTCTCCTCCTGTGAACTGCCACTCCTATGCTGAACAACAGCGCCACTACCAGGAGGCCAATAGCCACTGCAAGAACCGTTATGACACCTGAGGGAGATGACAATCCTGTTTAGGTACATGTGAATATAAAACATTTGGATAATATTTTAAATCAGACAAAAATCCCCAGTGCAAAAAAAAACAATTGCAGTGAAGTGCCAAAATATCTGCTGGAATACAAGCAAATAAAAGTCAGTGCAAGCATGAGAAAAATAAATCTTCTTCACCTATGCTTGACCACCTTGCTCTAAACCCGCACTCAATCTCCCAGTCTTCTGCCACCACGTCCCGCACCAGCTCAGTGAACAATGACAAGGGGCAGGGGTTCAGTCCATTGCATCCTGGGACAGGGTTGGGGTAAGGCTCATGCAAGGAGTCGTTGCGGTAATACAACGCCAAAGAATAAGATCTAGGGAAATGTTTGGAGGAATACAAAGAGATGACACATAATTATGATAAGTGTTATGTAAATGGGCTTGTATTGTGCGTTAAGTTGACCACTGCTGCAGTCCTGGATTTGTCCCTGATTTGCATCAAGTAAAAAAAAAAAAGTACATGATTGCTCCTAAAGAGTGGCATGCAGCTATTCAAAATGTGGTGTGTTTTGGCCATCTGGCCTAGATAGTGTGCTTAAATATGCAAAAAGAAGAGTGTATGAAGTCATGTTGCAAGGAAGTCATTACCCATCAGACTCCTGGTAGAACTCAAAGAGTTGACAGGCAGCATAAGGGGGAAGAAGGCCGTTGAAGACATCCATAGCCGCCTGGAGGGTGATGAGTGTAGAGTCATGCTGGAATGACAAACAAACATCACAGAAATAAGGAGGTAAGGAGACACAGTATGTGAAACAGCAGCTGGTACAAATGAATGTGTGTGTTTATGTGCACAAATACTGAACTCACAGCTGAGTACATAATGAATTTGAGAGAGCTTTCTTGCTCTACAGCTCTGGAGAAATTCTTCAGGCTGGCATTCAGTAGGACTCCTGTTAAATTAACACAGTGTCAGCAGTGCAAAAAAAAAAAATCCCAGATACCAACACAATCCCTTTGCTCTTACTTAGCATCTTGTCTTAGTGCTATAATCATCATTGTCCCATTAGCTCCTAGGTGCTAATATGCTCCTGGGAAACATGATCCAGCACTTTACACTGTGTGACTGTGTGAGGAATAAACAACGCTTCAGACAGCAGTCACAATATTAGACACACAGAGATGTATATTTTTTTTACTCTAATAACATTTTTGTCACAAGAACGCTTTTAAATGAATTGGCTGTAATGTGAATTCCCACCTCCTGACAGTCTGGCCTTCTCTTTTCGCTTGTGACTGAGGATGCTGTACATGACCTCAAAGGATGCTATTCTCTTCAGGGTGTCCAGGACGTCTTGGGTGGCCCAGCGTGGCAGAGTCAAGTTATGGATCCTCTGCACAAGAAAATAACATTCCTTACTCTATATCACTCTAATAATCATGTTACACAACATATTAAGTGCAATAGTAAGGATTAAATGGTTGTATTTCCATTATTTCTATTATCCCCACTATTTTTAGAGCCAGTCTGAAGATAACAAATGCTCATTTTGCAAGTGTGAATGAACATATTCAACCTGTGCTAGAATCCACTCATCTCTTAAAGCTTTAATTATCATTTCAATATGTTGTTCTATTCATGTCTTACTGTGTGTCTACAGGTGTGTTGAAGAAAGCATCTCCCTTTATGTTCCCTTCTCTGTTTGACTGTGCTCTGCAGCTACTCTTTGTATCAGTAACTGAACCACCTGTAAACTGTGTTTATGTGGGGGGGGGGGGTTATGTGCTTGGTGAAAGTATACCTGACAAGTAAGAGTGTCATAGACCCTCCATATTTTTTTGCCGACCAGCTTGGACACAGAGTAGCCTGTATAGTTGCTGAGTTTCTCCACGAAGTACTATATGGCGAAGAAAAGAACAAAAATTTAGCTTTAGATGCTTCACTAAATGATAATGCAACACTTTAATTACTATTTTTATGAGTAATATTAAACTTTTTTGTGGTTGTTTTTGCAGATGCACAAAAAATCTCTTAATTGGTATTTAATTGTCAAAATTATACACATAAATGGATCAATACAGTTCACTGTTGCAGGCTACAGAGTATTCTAAATTCACCCTGTCTTCAGGAGACTGAAAAAAGGCACCATTTTAGTCCTTGCATGTAACTGCAGGTACCGTACCTCCAGCAGAGGGTGTTAAAATTCAATGCAGGAGGCCCTGTCCTGATCTCAAACGTCGCTTTAATAGGCAGCACATGGGAGTCAGTTTAATTAAACCTGTTTCATTGTAATTCTTAATCTAACTCAATCCAACCGTTAATTAGCTTCTCTGAGTATGTGAGAGAAATTACACTGTGCAGCTTTTTGTAGGCACTGGAGTCACCGTGCCTGAGAAAATCATTGAGAGGACATGGTGTCTACATCATAACTAACACGTCCACTGGAGGTGCTGATAACATTGGCACCGACAACTGTGAAGTATATATTTCACTGTTTTAGAGGAATGTGCATTTCGCAGTGTTGTTAATTTACAAATCCAGGCATGGAAAAGTAGAAAAGATGCAGCTGAGGTGAAAAAAGTATAATTTACATTAAGTTTTATTACATAATTTTGATGATAGAAAACACTTAGAAACAACTTTTCAGTGGGTAGCAGACACATGACTCATGGAAAAGTGATGTTTACAGTAACAAACTGTGCAGTGAGTAGAACATTTATGTCATTGAACAGATGCTGAGGATGAGTTACAGTAGAGGATGATCTGTTTTCTGTGGTTTGTCTTACCTGGTGAGCCCTGAGGAACCTCTGGTAGGGCTCACTCTCAAACGTCTCCTCCATCAACACTCTGAACCTTGGACAGTCTTTGCCTGGAGACTTCAACAACTTGAAAAATCAAGAACAACAGCACAGCATCAGTGGAAATAATATACATTTACATCAGGTACTACAAGTCTTCTGGGCACAATTATATGTTCATTTCACACTTGAAAACATTGGGGACTTTCAGCACACCAGGTTCACAGCTGAGGTGAAAAGACAGCAACATAAATCTACAGTGAGAGACTTAAATGAAGTTTCTATTCAGCTGTGTGAAAGGAAATATTTATGTGGCTCAGCAGCCCACCTTGTCCTGGGCCCTGGGGATGGTGTGCACTGGAATAGGCCGCCACAGTAACTGGGGCATGATGGGAGGCGGGCGTCTGGTTGGGGGGAACATCCCAGCAAGGCAGGCCTGGGCGCTCATCAGTGTGCGGTCGTAGTCCGTGCTCCGCACATACAACTATTAAGGGCGTGGAGGGAAAAATGACATTAAAATGCATCCATATGGGCGAGGCTTGATGCTAATACTGTGGAACACTCAGACTTAGTTTGCTTTTTATAGGAAAAAGGAAATGTACTTGGTAACTTAAATGGATTGCATTTACATTTGCAAAGAGGAAATGCACCCAATTCAGTTTCTATTTTTCTTTAATAAAGAATGCCAAAGAAGTGCACACAAGAAAGCAGTAGTGTATCAACAGTTTAAGTTAACTGAGGTATTCCCCTCGGCAGCGAGAGGAGTCAGATGAGATCTAAATGGATGAGAAAGGGAGGGGGGAAAGATCTGTCTTGCTGTGATTTCTTCTGACATCAGCCTTTGCTTGTCTATATCCCTCTGTCACCCTGTGTCAGGTTTTCACACACACTAAATCAGGCTGATAAGGCTGAATGTTCCTGTGATGCATGGAAAGCATACAGTATTTCCCCCCTCCTTCTGTCAAATTAAAATAGACATGACAGTGCAGGGAAAGGTACGGCGCAAGTTGAGTGAGACTTGGGTCGACAAGTCGCCGTGATGATTACTGACAAGAGTTGTTATTTTTGTGGTAATTATGAGTTATTTTAGAGGGGGAGAAAAGGACTAAACACAAGGGAGAGAATGCAAGAGAAAAAAGGAAGACAGTGAGAGGCAGGGAGAGAAAGCAGACATCATATCTTCATAATGACAGTATGCTGAGCATGCAGCCCAGGGGCACACTGAACCAACATGCATGCTGCCAACTGTACTGTACATGGAGCCCAGAGGCAAGATTACCCCACATGTTGCAGCATAAAACAAGGCCATAGCAGCGATATCACCAGCATGAGTCGTGCTAATTAACTTAGTATATGGATATAGCCATTACAAATGTTTGCTGGCCACACGCAAACTTGATTTCACATGTTGGAGCGAGGGCATGACAATCGGATCAGTTGGCACTGAAGCACAACGGTGTACAGGGGACTTCAGTTAGTGACATACATATATGGTATACACCTACCTCCTTGTTGTCGTAGTCCTCACTGAGAAAGTTTCCATAGCGCCTCCTTAAAAACCTGCCTAGCTCAAACTGTTGTTTCATGCCCAGCTGGAAAGAAAATTGCCAGCGCTGTTAATTTCTGTAGAATCTGACCTTTCGCTGATGATTTGACAGATTTAAGGTCAGATTCAACTGATTTACATAGTGTAATAAATTTCACCCCTTCTACAGGCCTCCAAGAACTAGAAATAATATGTTTATTCACTGTAAAATGGCTAATTGTCTGAGAGCAGAACAATGTCACAGCAGGAAGGAAGTTAATTAAAACTCCATATAAGCTTTTCTTCCATCTCAAGACTGATTAGAAACTGAATTTATAATGAAACACAGTAAATGAAATGTACAGCCATTTATATAGTGTTATTTTGTTTGCCACACACAGAGTAGCACCCAGTACCTCAGTCAGCTGTCCAAAGCCCTGAGCCCACACTTCCTCCCCATGAGGATCCCTGGGATATGACTCAATAGGCGATCGATCACCGTGTCGGAGCACCTCAAAAACAATAACAGATGATGTCACATGGATTTAGATGCCATGCTGCTGTGCCAGCCGTTACGCTGTGTACTTAAGGGGAAATTTCACCCTGAGCCAGGCGTCGGAAACAGTCACCTGTGATGTTGTACAGTTCAGTCTGGATGTGAGACATAGAGGAATCATTTTGATGATGTCATAAAGACACAAATGCTGGAGCTGCTCTGCGTGTACTATTAACCTGAGGACTCCCCTTCTGAGCGGTTAAATGACACATGGGTTGCTTAAACTGAATTATGTGACTCACACTTGTTAGCGCCACAGTGATTTAAACTCACTTATGTGTAAAACAGATCATGCAAGTGAACAAAGTCATGGTTTGCTCATTTTGATGCCAAACACCTTTCTGAGTTTTGCTCAGAGGTAACCGTCATTTTGATGCCAAACACCTTTCTGAGACTAGAATTAAGATTTGACATTGAACTGAGCTGAACTTGCCTCAACTATTATAAAATTGAGTAGTTGAATTAATATTCTAGTTAAGTGTTAAATTCTTAAATTAAATGAACAAAGCAACTATTTTGAGTCAGTCACACATACTGTATACCATCCTGGTACTATGCTGGACCTATCAGTGCCACAAATCTGGTGGAAATAGTCCCCAGTGACACTAGTTACACTGTTTGAGCAATGTTCCAGTGAAAAACTACAGTTCCCTTAGTGTTTTAGGATATTAAAAAAAAAAAACATTTAGTTTTAAGGATATATATTAATAATCACTTGTGCATGGATGTGCTCACTTGAAGAAACAATTAATTGAGACCAACTCCACTACTACACATCAAGTAACAGATGTAATCCTGACTAGAGAGAGATTATAGTTGAAGTTGTGAACTTCCATTGTAACATTCACAACTGACATTTTAGGCAGTAATAAAACATAAACACTAGTTTAATATGTTAGGTGCTGACAAAGGATTTAAAAAACTGTCACATTACATGAAAAATGTTTGTGATCTTCACTTAAATCCTTCAGTCGTCTTTTTCATTCTTTCATTGAAAGGCAAAAAACCGATATGGCAAGAGGTTTATGAACAAAGCTGTAATGGGTGAGATATGCTTCACGCTGTTGGAGATTAGGCTCAAAGTAATCCTTTGTGATATTAATGTGTAAATATAATAATGCTCACTGAGCAGAAAAATGTAGCCTAATTATGAACCATTTACAGTAGCATCATGCTCGTGTGATTGAAAGTATCTTACAGATTATGTTAATATTCCTCCTTTCAACAAATAAATCTTGGTAACTTTATGGATGTGATTTTTCTGTGTGACTGTCTTAATACAGCTGAATATGAAACTGTAATACGCTATTAAAATGGCATCATTATTATTTATGTACACAGAAAGAAAAAGAATACTAGGTAGACTTACAGCTATGACAAACTTTAGCACCCGACACTCGGTCAAGCAAATGCAACAGAAAAGTAATAAACAGCCCAAACTTCTCTGTAACTTCCACATCTTCTTGATTTGTCAGTCTTTACCGCCTTGACAGAGTTCCCCTGCTGATATAGGGTAAAACACGTAGTGAAATTTGAGCTCTGAATGGGCCATTACAAACAGAATATGATGAATACATTTACTCGTTTTCACTCAAGATTGTGCAAAATGTGTCTTTCTGGTTAGTTACAGTATATGATGTTTATGTTAGGACATCACTTTAAAAATACTGTCCAAAATGTGTCATCTTGATATATGAAAGTGTCATACGTAGCAGTGTAGATGCACAACAAAGACTCTGTAAGTGAACATGTGCACTTACCTCAGTAAACTTGTTGACACATTTTGCTGTTTCAGACGATTCACAGACAGGAGAGGATCACTGTGCATCCCAAATCTTCAGTCATATCCAGACTGACATTAAGTGCATGTTCCAGTAAAGTGCTTTTATAGCCCTCCTACCTGATGCTGTCTATCTTTCTCTCTCTCTCTCTCTCCTTCAGGGATTTCTGGTCCCAGTCTACTTCATTGTCGAGTCCTGCGGCTCTCCGGCTGTACAGGAACATGACAGCCTACCCTGAGATATATGTGGGTCAGTGTTTGATACATGTTTGACCCCCTTAAATGTGGATAACCCCACTTTAAAACCAAAGACATTTATTCTTAAGGACCCTCTGGCTTTAGAGCAACAAAATGACAAAGAAGCAGGTTATGTGTAGACACACCCACCTGGCTTCTCAAATACACATGCATGCTTACACACTGGCCAAAGTTCACAAACACTCATTATGACCTGCTATGTCATCAGCTGTGGGTTTGGCCCCAAAATTACAGGGCCTGGAGTGTTTTCGCTGACTTGGCACATATGTAAGAATCTGGTAGTTTCAAAGCAGCTTTATGAGATTATAGTGGGATTAGTGACTGTGAAGGTTTAAATCTATACACAACTGACATCATATAGGCAGGTGGTTCGTCACTGTAATATGTACAGCACATTATAAACACTGTAGTCATCATCCAAATACTCACTCGTTATTTTTAGGAAATTATTTTTGCCCTGTTTTTAAAATTAAACTACTGTATAAGCTTGTATTTGTTGTGGGCTTGAGAGCCACAGACAGGCAGGGAAAGTTGGAAAGTATCAGGAGACAGACATTAACTATAGGAAATTGTACTGAAGTGTCACAAGTACTAGAAGACCGTCTGCATTTGTAACATTGTAATATACATTTATTTATTGATTGTTAGTTACGTGCAACATTTTAATGTGAAGTAATAGCTGTATACAGTGTTCAGTATAATACTGAAAAACAGAACTGGTTGTCAGTACCTGTATTCAATTATTTTCCAGCACTGTGTAGATTTCTCTCTAGCTGTCAGCTTCTCTCTCTGTCTCACAGCAGTGTACAGTAATCCTCTCACAGTCTAAAACACACATACTGTGTACATGCGTGGCACAGTAGCTGGTACCGTACAGGTTGGCTTACCTGTGAGAATGGGTCAGTGAATCCACCTGTGCTGATCTACAGAACAGAAGAGAACAGAACGACTGGGGGATATTCACTATATGGGGCTCAAGGACAAGCACGCACACACACACACACAAACCAACATATGCACATTTGTTGTGGAAAATTCTACACTTGATACACATCAGTTCACTGAAGGGTCAAAAAATGCACGCACAGTTTCACAACTCCACATCTCTCTCTGTCACTTATGCAATTAAAAAAAAAATAAAAAACACAAACACACACACAACAAATATGCACTCCATCCTTTTTTTCCTCCCTCTCTCCCAAGTGGCTATAGTGTTTCTGTCTTTGTTGAAATAATTGCAGTGATTTTCAAGACCGCTGTCATGGCAACGTAGAGGTTGATGCATGTTGACAGAATCTGTTGCAGAGCGACCGAGAGACTGAAAATGGGAGATAAGCGGTGGGAGGAGAAATGATGCATGTGAACGTGTATGCATGTGTGCGTGAAGGTGATGATGGCAGTGGTAGTGGTGGCGGTGGGTGCTCACATGTGCTCCACTCAATATGATGAATGGAGATGAGCAGTATGGGACAGCTCAATCTGATAGAACGAGGCCCAAGATCAGGAATGAACGGTTATGAGTGTATTGTGAGTGGAGGAAAGAGAGAGAGGGGGGAAAGCGGCGTGCTATTTTAGTCCAGTCGTTGTCATAGAAACTGCAGCCTCACTACAAATGGAGACATCCAGAACACATGGATTGTCAAACAAATGCCGTGCATAGGGCCCAGTGTGAAGCTACGCCACGGCTGTGTGACAACATGCCATCTCAGTGGAACCCACCCCCACCCATACTGGCACCCATTCCTCTAGCCAGACAACAGTGGGGTCTTCTTCATCAGAGAGATGGAATGTCAGGAGGGTACCTTATTGGGAGTGAATTAGGGGGTTGAGGAGGGGAACAGATGCTTGGAGTCTGGGGCTAATTGACAGGCAACAGTGTCCATTCAGGCAGTGAGTTGCAGTCGCTCATCCTCTGTTTTTTATTTAACAGTTTTCCACACTTCCCTCCCTTCCCTCCTTTCCTCTCCTCTTGTCTCATCTTCTGTCTACCCTTTCACTCTCTGTCTATCTCCCATCCTCTCCCTCTTCTTCCCTGCCTTTATCTCTCTCTCTCTCCTGCACTCTGAAGGACGGAGGTATTCCCACATTTCTCCGTTGCTATAGCAACACTGCAGCAAGAACAGGAAAGAGAGGGTGCAGGCAGGGAGGAGGAGGATGAGGAGGACAAGGGGAGGATGGAGACATGGTGGGGAGAAGGGGATAGAGAGTTGGGGGTAGGGGGGGTAAATGGCCTAAGATGAGGGGATGTGTGAACAGTGCTAATGCTAATGGTAACAACAGCAGCAGAGCATCCATGTGTTGGTGAACTCCCATGCTGGGAGCAGGCTCACATGTAACATCCATTTTTGCATAATTGCCAGTGGGAATCTTTTTGTGTATGTGTATGGTGCTATGGTCATTGATATCCTTCACACAATGATACATCAGAACTGTGTCGTGTATTGAATTAATTCACAGGGAGAATCACTGCAGTGCCAATCATCATTTATTGAACAATATATTGTAATGTGAATTCAGAGGGAGAGACACAGAATCACCTGGACTTGGGTTCTCTGCAGAGTTTGGGGTCTTTGTCTGTCTTCTGAAGTCCCCCCAAATGCACCCACATGCTCACCAAGTCTGAGTCTGTCTTACCAGCCTTGCAGCTGATTATATAGCTCTTTTATTTCTTGAACCTCCTGCATCATGTCAATCTTGACATCTAGCGGGCCCCCTCCCTTCTCACTCCACGGTTCTGGGAAGCCCCTAGAATTACTAGGAAACAGGACGCTGGACCCCATGTTTATGCAGAGGAAGATCCTCTCAAAAGTTTATCTGTGACCATACTTAGCCCTGTAGTGGTTAGCAATAAATCAGACTCCAGAAGAAATATGTAATCAAACAGCATGTAGCTCATTTTTGGTATCGGCTTGTGTGAGGGAGAAAGTTCATGTGAGTTGAGTTTATGTAAGTGATCAGAATATTCCCTGTTTACTTAGGATGTAACTAACACTGGCCTAATAAGTATAAACTATATTAAGTTTGCTTTTACTACTACACTGACCAGCTCTGCAAAACCTCCAGTCATTTCTTAAACATCATTTCAGTATTAACATATAGTCCAGACTCCTACATGGTATATTTATATATAGAAACAGGTTGAAACTTAACTGTTTTTTTTAATGATTAAATTTGTACAAACCAGTACAGGACCAGACAAGAAGATGTATCTATGTGGAGTAAACACACAAAAGACCTGGGACAGCCAGATAAATTTTGTATTGATAAAACTGCCCCATTCAATCAGTGCAGAACACAAGCTCATTATCTGTTCACATATATTGTAAGACATTAAAACAAAGCAGTGTTGCAACAATTTGCCAAGACCTAAAAATGCCACAGATATGTTTGAATACCTGTGCTGTTTGGTGCCTAGTCTGCTGCACGTCAGCTTTTCCTCACCATCCTCTCAATCAATAACTCATCTCTTGATGTGAATATTGTTATTCCCCATGGGACAAAAATGTCCTTCTTTAGGACAAACAGATAACAAGTGAGATGGGACGAAGGAGATGTGAGGTATGAGTTTGTTATTAGTGTGTATGTCATTATAGAATCTATGCAAGGAAATTCCATGCCTCTTTTTTTCTTAGTCAGTGTCCATAAAATCCAGATGTGCTGATTTGTCTCTGCACTGAGCAAAGCCAAAACAGGTTGACCAAGAGACATTTTGTCACACACAATAAATGCATTATGAAACCACAAAGGTGACATAAGAAAAAACTCCACCTTTTTGCTTTTTGTTATTGGCAAAGATTTTCCTGAGCCATCAACTTAAAATTAAACCCTCAGTGTATCAGTATAACATCAGTTGTTATTTTATGCCACAAGACCTCTAAAATGGAAAATTAAACCATTTATTAAATTATTTATTATCCAGAGTGACTAGATGTGAATATCAATACCACTATAACATCTGCATGATATTTATGAAATTACAGCCAGCAGCTGGTTACTGTCATGTGGTATTGGTAAATGGTCTTACACTTGTATAGCGCTTCTCTGTGCATTCCATCACACTCAAAGTGCTTTCACACTATTTGGCCATTCACCCATTTGCACTCCCAAGCACACACCAGTGAAATCACCAGGAGCAACTTGGAGTTCAGCGTCTTGCTTGAGGACACTTTGACATGTAGCTAGGAATCAAACGACCAGCTCTCTGGTTGGGAAACAACATGTCTTACCTTCTGAGCCACAGCTGCCCCAGCATAAAGTATATATACTGCAAACAGGGAGAAACAGTTAGTAGCACCTTTAAAGTTCACTAATTAAAATGCTACAGTATATCTTTCTTGTTTATTTATTCTCTATAGAAAGTTACATGTACAAATGGTGGTTGTACCTTAGTTGTGCACTGGGCTATTTCTTGATTGGGTGCACTAAATCACTGGTGTCTTGTCACCGTTTACCCATAATGTGTCCTTTTTATAGATTTACAGAGATTAAACAAAGGAGACAAACATGTTAGAGATAGTGGTGGGCAGATTTTGTTGCCTTACCTAATGGGCTTTTTCCCCCTGTCAGTCTTTTCATCTAGCTGTCTGGGGGGGGGGCAAACGCTGTATTTCCAAAAATGACCTAGCTGAAGTATTAGCTGGGTAAATATAGGCTGCTGCATAAGTTAGAGTGCCATTAAAATCCCACAGTGGCACAATATTAACCAAGCAAAGTAAAAGCTTCGCCACTCTCTGCAGTTATAGTAAATCAATACTCAAGTAAGTGTAATAATCTAATAATAACATCAGCACAGTGTCTGCAAAGTGTGTTTGTGTGTGGGAGTGCATGCACTGGGGAACACTTTGCTATATACCTTCTTCCAATACAGTAATTATACATAAAGTGTATGTTTATAATGGATGGCAGACGCAAACTGTTCATTGGAAAGTAATTACATGAAATATTCTCTTCCACTGCTGGCCCATGGTGTAACAAGCATTATGGATGGAATATTTAAAGACAAATGTTTCTGTTATTTCAGGTACAGTAACAACTATAATGTTTAGAAAGCATTGCAAAGTAGCCCTTTGCAGTATGTATGTGTGAGTCTTAGCAGTATTTCAGGTTTCATTTGGATATTTTTGTCTCAGACCCATTACAGTGAATTGTACAGTGACGCTAACTCATTTCATTAAAATGTGAAGTGCACATTTAGAATTAACATGTGGGGAGTGAAGTGTAACCCTTTGTGCCATATAAACATATTCTACGTGAACACATGAGGTGAATGTATGCTGTAAGTTAAAAATTAAGCCCTCTTAGAGCAGCAGGAGTAAGCTTATAATTCATCAGTGTACTGTAGTGGCGTGTAATAACAGTCAAGAATTGAACCTCTTAAGCAAAGAGCAGACTTTACATCACAAGGGCTCTGGTTTCCTGTTATCCATCTTACACAAATCAAGTCCAACTGGGTCACCCTCACCTCATACTTCCCATGATGCTTTGGATCCTCAGTCCAAGCAAAGTCTGCTAATGGTTCTGTGCAGTACATTTTCATATAACGTGCCTAAATAGGCCACAGGAGCTATGCTTAAATTTTATTGCAATGACTGTGGCTCACACAGCTATACACTACTCTATACACAATACTCTGGTGTTAAACACTTTTTCTACAGCCTTAAAAGTGCAAAGAAATAAAAGGCTTTCACATTTTCATGGCTCGTCGATCAGTGGAGATGCAGCCCACAGACTCTGACACCTCTGTTTCTCAGTGGAGTTTATGTTGTGTCAGGTTCCCCACAGACTCTGCAGTCTGTCTGTGGGCCAGGGGGAGCTGGGGGAATCCCTGGAGGAATACACAGCTGGGATGTTATTGAAATTGAAGGAAATAGATAGCATAGGGAAAAGGAGAGGATAGTGCAGGCACCTTGAAGTTGTAGAAAGTAACTGCAGCACAGCCTTACAAGGGGAAACGTTGATGTACCGTGCAGGGACAAGTTTACATTTTCCAAACAGCAGGATTTTCTTTTTTCTTTTTTATATAATACATAGTTTAGAATTACAAGTGGGAATGAATGTTGATATATGTACCTCCTGTGGATTATAGGTTCATCTTGCTGCAATGACTGAGATTCTTTTTTATACCCCACCTTTTCTAATTAAAACTGACCCTATACTCCATCACATTATATTTATAACAACATCACAGAATGTGCTGATTGTTTTTCAGCATTTCTTTTTCATCTTTGCTGCATATTCATGTATTATTTACCGCTGCATACACACTCTGCTCAGTTTCACATATCCACTCTTCACTTCATATCAACATTACCCTTTTAAAAATGCAAGAACAGGACAAAAGGACAAATGCAAGTCTTTTCTAGGCAGTTCGTCGTTCATATATGTTGGCTCACTATTAACACAAGCTGAAAAACAGTAATACGACAGAAACTCAGATATTAATACCTTGTTGAAATTTTGACACCCAAAGGGGTAACTGAATATTTGATTTGTGAGCAGAGCCTTTAATATTATGTCCAGGAAGTCTCACAAGGACGGAGGTCTCTAGAGACAAGACTACAAAGCTAAGTACAATTACATTTAAGAAAATTATTTTACATCCTGCCACCTAAGGCAATTCAAATAGTACTTCCCTGCTGTAAGGCTGAAAGAGTTTATCTAAGCATAGTATTCAGATTCACTGTTAGGTTTCATGGCTCATGCATTTGTTATTACATGAATCCTTTAAGGTCTTTGTTTCATAATGTGGCTTGGATTTGTACCGTGCACTGGACATCTGTGATAGTAACACAACTTTACTTCATCTTGCAGTTCAAAATAAGTTTAAAAATATCAAGTCTGGAGCATGCAGATAAACTGAAGAACAAAATATAACCCAGTAAAGCAAAGAAATCACGCTCAACTTTGTCAACACTTTCAAGGTGACGTATAGACGAAGCCCTGGCATCCTGCACATTCTTATCAAGCAGGAAAATGAATTAGTTCACTTCATCTGGAGAGATCAGCAGCACAATCCAAACCTCGCCTTGCCTGGAAAGTCTCGAACTATTCACTAAAAGGAGCAGATTTCTTTGTTTGTTTTCTTTTTCTTTGGCACAACATAAACTAATAAATAAAAATGGCATCACAGGTTAGTGTACAGTTATGATGTAACATGACAGACCAGGTGATTTATTAAAGTGACTGCCATGCAGTAGTGATCACAGGATGTAATAGTGTTGTTAGATTACAATGAGCGTCCTGCTACATTTTTAGCCGTTGACTAAAAAGTTAGGATTTAATAATAATAGATTGGTAAGATTTGTATTTTTCCTGGAAAATAAGCCCACCTTTAGAATTGTAGTACACTTATGGAAGTCTGTGTTGTTCTGCAATAAAGTCAGTTAATCATTTTTCATAATTATAAATATATACAGTCTAAAAAAGTTGTTTGAGAATTGTTTTATTATTTGACTGTTTGTTAGCCTTTTTTTGTTTAATTCTTCTATAGCTCTATTTGTTGTAATGTCATAGTGTTTGCATGTACCTTTATATGACAAGCTACCACCTAATACAGTATAATTGTACAGAGTACAAGGGGCCATTGTGTTCAACCATTACCTTATTCTGAAAGCCTGTTCCCTGTTTCCTAAATAAAGGGTGAAAAGAAAAGGGATGAAAAGAAGTAACAAAATACATTATAAACACAATTATTGCGCAGACTTTTTTTCAATTTGTTTTATAAAATTTCACGCAATAACTTATTTGAAACATCATCATGTTGAACTTGTTAACTCATTTCTCATTTAATTTGTTGTGGTGCTCTGGAGGATGTAATCACAACAAAGAATGAAAGTGGCAGATGTTTCTAATACCAGAATAACTCCGTACAGTGGGTGGACAACTGAAGTTACAGAAGTAGCAAACAGTGAAATAATATACCTCTCAGTCATTATATGACAGTCATTGAAGTGCAAGTACAGCGCATGTTGATTTTGCTATAACTTAAGAAAAAACTCTGCTGTCACTGTGTACCTGCATGAATGTGTCGAAAAGAAATGACATTTAATGACAATACAGAAAGACCCAAAGTGATAACATTACATACCAAGAGACAACCAACAAATGGAAAATAATAGAGAAAAAAATTCACCTTTTTTGTATTAAAGAAATCTAAATTTTTCTAGAGTTAACACTGTTTTCTTTTGTTTTAAAAAGCTTTTGAAACAGACCCAGGTTTTTTAAGATTGTTCTATCAAACAGAGCAGCTTACCTTCAAAGGACCAAAGGTCAGTCCACTTTCTGGTCTTGCAATTTGGTGTCTCAGATACGATAATCCATTTCAATAAGGAGTTTTGCTTGCGACAAACCAAGAAATCTCATCAGGGCTGAAGCATCCATAAGCAGCGCATGGTGCAGAGGGTACACATATGCCAGCACTCTGTTTGTAGCCAAACTGCATCAAAACACCATCATCATATACTGGGAGTTACAGTCACAGATATTCAGATTCCAGTCTCAAGCTTGTGATCTTCATTAAAAGGGTCACATGTCTGCTAACACCACTTGAATGAGCCTCCTTTTCAATAGCATCAAGTATATATACAATGCCAGCCACTATACTAAGATGCAACAAAGCCCTTCTGCATTTCTTCCAAATGTTAATAACAATGATGATAACTGTGTGTGGTTCATGTTACAGCTGTTCGGAGGTATGAAAGGAACATTTCTGCGCTGATTGGGAGAGGCACCATCATGGTAAAACACTGCTACAAAAGTCATGTGAAGATTGATGCCATGGTTAAGATGCAGAAAACCTACCCCCACACACAGCACACAAGGAGGTATCTAGTATGCTCTTTGAAATCAGATGACAGAGCCACCAAACGTAGCACATCAAGGGAGCAGCCATATGTTGTGTCTTTAGCCTTCATTTAAATTCTATTTGTGTCTCTGTGGGGCTTCAGCTGAACCCTGCCCACTAAATATATCAACTGGGTTGCAACACATTTACTAATGAATAAGATTTATGAACCAAAACACTAATACCAAGCTGAGAAAATACATGTGTGAAATTTAGATCAGTCTGTTTACATGTGGCACTGTGGGTATAAAAAGACATTTTAAAAGATGTCTGATGTTTTATGGGATAAATGTGATATGTATTGATGTAGAAGATGTTCCTTTCATTGATTAACCTCTGTGACAGCACAGTCTGGGTTTTTTTTCTGATATACAATAATCTCTGATATTATCATCATCATTATGACTATTCCTCAATGTTCTTTTTCTTCCAATAAGCGTAGGCTCATTGCTGATAAGAAAAACCATCATTGGGCATAAAACACCTCCTATATATGTTGTATATATACGCAGGTCTGAGGGAGAAGTGCAAAAAAAAGACAAAGAAAAAGCCAGCAAAATCACATATTAGCTGCATTACAGTTGAAAACCTTGTTGATAATACTATCTCAGGTACATTAAAATGGATTAACTGGTCATATGTCCAATTCGTGCTCAATTGCAACAAACATTTTAGGTCCCCTCTTGATAAATAGTGTATAGTATGTTATCCAAAGCAGGTGATATATTCAGTATTTCAATTCCTTAACCATCTCTTCACTTCAGAACTAGCATTAAAGATCATCATGGGACAAGAACTGGGGACTAATTTCAGACAAAGCACCTTCATTTAGAATAAGACCGTCTAGTTGTGTTAAAAGCACTCATTTTGTAAAACCTAAAGAACATCTACAGTGACTAAATGCCTGCCTGAACATCGAGCAGATGGCACCCATCATTACCAGAATGACTAATGACTTAACCACAAACCATACATTTAGTCCAGGTTTAGCACAGAGGCCTGCGTAACGTCTCGCTCTTTTACTTATGTGGTTGCCATATTGACCTGCCACAGCCCAATATATGATTGATTTATTTCACACGTAATGATACATGGCTAGACAACTGTACACATTATATCAAACTAACAAAAATAAAGAAATACATAGTTGAAACGCAAGAAGCGTAAATGGCATTTAACATATGAAAGTTACACTGTAAAAATGTGGATCTTACAATTGTCATACAACCAGACATTATTATTATTAATATACTGTACATTTCCATTCATTCCAGTCATCCAAAGATGGATGTTTAATCCCTTCATGAAAGCTCCCGCAGAGTGATGTCTCATCCTTATCACAGCATTTTATGGCACGATTATGGTAACCATGAGCAAGGTCATATCAAATTCCTGCCTAAAGCATATATCTGGCTACTGATCTGATTCAAGTAACACAATGTCAACACTTTATTTTACCCATACAGGTTTTTGCGTTGGATTTGCTTTCTGTGTTTGTGGAACATATTGTAGTTTTACCATTAGTCGATGCTGGCGTTTACGTATCAGAATTGTCGATTCAAATACCAAGTAGCTGGCTTTTACAAAATACATAATACACTCTGAGAACACAAAACTTTGTAATGATTATTACTGAAGCAACAGACAAAACTTTGTCAAACAGAGATCTGCATTTACTGTTCTACAACCTAAATGGATTTTATGTCACAAAGCCAATTCAAAGATTCACAATGAGTGTTGCAATTGAGCCCTTTGTTTCTGAGAAGTCGCCAAACTTAAAACATGTATCATAACCAACCTCCACTATTGCCACTCCTGATTATTCACAAAGAAACAAACTATACCAGCTTATACATCCACCCCAAATAGCTCTGCATTGGAGTCTGCAATGATACATATTTAAATGAAAATATATTTATATAATTTGTGGATTTTTCACAGTAGTTTGTACTGTACTGTACCTTTTTGTCCATCTATTTATGCCTACATAATTTTCACCATGAGGGAGTCTATTGAGTCACTTGAGAGAGAGTGTGGCTTCTGTTTAGTGTGAAAGAAAAATGTCTCTTGGATTTTGTTCTGCAATATCTCAGATCTTCAGTCTGGCAAGTGCTGTGCATGTCTTTCATCTCTGCTGGCCAACAACAATTTGAGGACTGGTTACTCTGAAAGGCTAGTTTTTCCCTATGAGAACACAGCTTGTAGAAACTGCAAAAAACATTTGCTTTGGCACAGATTTACATTGTAGCAATGTCCATTCCTTGATCTCCATGGCCATGATCATTACTACAAGCACAAGTGGCCCATTGTGGTAATCCTTGGCTCAGTACACTGTCACGGATAAGTCTGTGTGTTTGAGTGTTGCCCTGTCAATCCGTCCTCTCTTCTGGTGTAATGTCAATGCACTCTAGTGTCTAATCATTCTGTGCATAAACCCAAAATCAATCTCCTCTCTGTCTCCAACTCTTGGTCACTCTCTCTCTATATGCTCGCTTTTGTCTTTAGATCTGAGTCTCTTGGACGTTTTCCTTTGAGCTTCCCTTGAAAAGAAGAGGCTCCATTTGGGGATTCTGGTTTTGGCCCATGAAACCCTTGATTGATCCATGTAAGCCCATAGTAGGCATGGGGAGAGACATCGGCAGTGGTGGGGCCATAGAATTGGGGTTGGTGTTGGTACCATTGCCTGATGAGGTGAGCAAATTAGATGAAGAGATTGGGACTGAGGTACATGAGATGGGGATATCCTGGCCTTGCTGGTTCTTGCTACTGAGGATCCCTCCTTGTCCCATCCCATCGTTGCCAGTACTAAGACCCATCACATTGTTGTTGAAATGATGTGTCTTGTAGTAATGGTTGAGAGTATCAGTACGGCCAATGTTGGGAAGGTTGACGATTTCAGGATGATGTATCCTTAGGGTTCCTTCTCCACCTGTGCCAGAATTCATTGTTGAACCACCTGAGATGCCACTTCCAGGCCCTGCTCCAATTTCATCTTCTACATTGACAATTTCAATGGCTCTGGCTGGGCCGTGATGCTTGTGTAGCTGGTGCTGCTTCCGGAGTTTGTAGAAGACCACCAACATTACAGCTGCCATAAAAGTAATGGCCACGAAGCAACCAATGATGATCTTAGTTGTCTTCATTACATCATCCAGGCCTGGAATGTTAGTTACATCCATTATGGAAACAGTCACTGCATTTTCAGTAGCTCTGTTGGCTCGTGGGGACAGGGAAGAAAGAGAAGAGAGAGAAGGAGATATAGTGATGCCAGGTTGGCCCTCTAACACCCCTCTTTGGACAGTAGGATTAGAAAAATCTATGAAGGTCTCGTTAATATACTGTCTTGCTGAGTTCTTATCATCTCCTATACTGCCTTTATCTGCCTCTACTGTTTCCACAGTGACAGTGGTAAAATAACTGTAGCTGTTGCTGGGGTCTGAAGCAGACACATTGAGCACAGCAGTTGCAGTGGTGTTTCCAGCAGAGTTGGTTACCATGCAGGTATACTGTCCAGTGTCTTGCACAGTCACATTTGTGAAGTTTAGCGTTCCATCATGAAGCACTGAGATCCTCACTCGGTATGATCCATGGGTCATCAGAGTGCCATTTGGAGTAAACCAATTCACAGAGGTCATCGAGGTTCCAGTACGACATTTCAGCTCAGCAGCCATGCCTTCAGTGACATTGAGGTCAGTGGGGGGCTCAACAATCACTGGGGCATAGCAGGTAAAGTGGCTCTGGTCTAGTTCTCCAATGTACTTGCCCTTTAGACCTGGGGGTGCATGGCAGCGAGCACAACATGTGGTGTTGCTGGGAACTGTTTCTTTCAGCCACCAGCTGAGCCACAGAACATCACAGTTGCACATCCAGGGATTGTGGTTGAGATGTACCCTCTCCAACTGGTGCAAAGGGGTGAAGAGGTCATGGGGCAGGTAGTGCAGGGAGTTGTGGGATAGGTTGAGTTCCTCCAAGTTTTTGAGGTCATCAAAAGCATTGCGTTCAATGACTGCCACTCTGGAGTGCATTAGCCACAACTTGCGAAGTGACACGAGGCCCTGGAAGGATCCAGGCCGCACTATCCCCAGTTGGTTGCCTGACAACTCCAGCTCCTCTAATCGCACTAGCGGGGTTAGGTTAGGGATGTCCTTCAAGCCACACATGCCAAGATTCAAGAAGCGCAAGTTTACCAGACCTTCAAAGGCAGCCTCTGAGATGAAATCCAGCTTTCTGAGTTCCCCTAGATCAAGACGGCGTAACGAGGGAACACGGTGAAAGGCAAATGCTGGGAGTGTTTCAATAGGGTTGTTTCGAAGCCATAGTTCCCTTAGTTTGCTGAGGTACTCAAAGGCTTGTGATGGTACCACTGTGAGACGGTTGTCAAAAAGCTCCAGCGTGTTGAGGTTGGGAAGGCCATTGAAAGCTCCCACCTCAATTTGTCGGATGTGGTTCTTGGAGAGCTGGAGAATTTCCAAATGCCTCAGGTGCTTAAATGTGTCAGATTTGATCACCTGGCATGGAAACAAAAACAAGGAGACATTAGAATCACTGCTGTCAAAATATATTTGTTTGGTCTGACTGTAAAGTCTGCTTGTAGATGGAGTCGTATTTACCTGAATTGAGTTCTCTTGTAGATTGAGGTATCTTGTGTTCTCTGAAATACTGTCTGGGATTTGATCTAAACTCTTCCTTGTACAGATGACACGGCTCGCCTGATTGGAGCAGGTACAGGGGGTGGGACAGGGGGGTGCTGCCTCTGTCAGTTGAGGTCCATGGTTGTGAAACCACAACAAAAGCTGGACCAACCAGAGGAGGGGGGAAGGGGTACAAGGACTGGTCACCATGACAACACGCATGGCAACTGAGTCATGACCCACCCCTATTGCTATAATGTTGATAAATCACCTCCAAACTAGGGAATTTAAGTGCTTATCTTGATGTTCATTCTTTATGCTCTTATTCTGCTTTTTCTCTTTCAAGCTGTCACTTTAAAAATTAAGAGGAAAAGGAGCAATGTTATATTAAAGACTGTATTTATCATTAATAGAGTCTTATTTTACTTTGCTGGCACATACTTCGTTGACTATCAAACATCTTGTTCTTTTCAAAATGTCAGTTTAGGGAACCTTGTGTTTTTTTGTTCCCATGTTACTCATTAGAATAGAAATCAAATTTGGGGGAGGATTTGCTGTTGAAAGTGTTGTTTCTGTGGAGGCTGTTGCTTCTCACTGTATGGGAAAGAAAGAAAAGGAGAGAGAGAAAGGAGGTCAAGTAAGTGCACAGTGCAGTAGCTGTAAGCTATTAGCCTAGCACATACATGAAAGCATTTCAGGGAATTAATTTAAATCTTAAAATATTACAATGTCACCAAATATGTATGGCAAGCTAGACTGGGCTCTCAGATTGTAGCCTGTAGTCTAACTGGGGAGTCAGCTGCCATTTTCTTCATAAGTTGGACTTAACATCTGGGTCATGGTCTGAAATGGCCACAAAAGTCTACAACCTCAAGCTGGGTCAGTAGTATACCCATTAGAATTCAGTCTTGTCATCCATTTTATGATACTGGTATACTTAGATTCAGATACATTCTGACCAAAGTAGAATTTCACATTTAAGGAAATGCAAAGTTGTGAATACAATTACAACTACCAGTAGGAGTCATCTGCACCTAGGGTTAATGCAGAGATTCATGTAATCCATCATGAGGCTGCAGCACAGCATTACAAATTGGATAACAAATGATACCTGTTTGCAGTAATTCAGCAATTAATATATGAAGGAATGAGTATTGACCACTGAAATTTTACTGCGGTGCACATACTGTGTGCAGTAAATCACGCACAATCAGAAAAGAACTACAACCACTAAAGTTGATGAACTAAACATGTAAATGACAACTAGACTGTGAACAAACAGAAAAAGACAACTTTTGCAGTACATAAATGTGTATTTGTTTGCCTTTGGTTAAGGGTGTCCTACACTTTTTGAAACAGAAATGGCTGCAAGCATCAGCAGACTCATTATATTTAAAAATGCCAGGGTTCGTTTCCTCACTTATAATGATTAGACCAAAGAGAAAGTATTCATTATTTTCTTAAGCATGTTATGCTTGACACCATGATCCATGTGGCCACAAGTCTGTGATGTCTCTTCTAAACATGAGAAGGAAATCTTTGTTTCTTGTCACTTATATCACCAGTGGGTATACATTGTCAATATCCTATTTAAAATTACTCTAGGATACATTTTCCAAACAATTGTACTTTCTAATAACCAGATTGTTTTTTAAAAGCTTCCATGGCATCTCCTCTCCTATGCAGCGACGATGCATGCGCTCCTAGAAACACGGTTGCTGTGGCAACCTGCTCACTCACCATCTTGTGTTTTTACTGTCCAGTGCCCTGTTCCACATTACAGTGTTTAGCTGAGCTTGATAAACATTTACTGTTCAAAACTGATCAGGACACCTTTTTGGGCTAAACCAGCATATATTTAGTTTCAGGTGTATTATCTTATTACCAGATATACAATGAATATTCTTTTGATCAGTAGATTACTTACAGGAACAAAGACCAAGGGTTGAAAATCTAATTCTGCATATGAGAAATAAGTGAAGGGAAGCCTGACAAAGCACACAGCTGAACCTTGGCCTTCAGTATCACAACAGCGAGAAAGAATCTGCCATGAATCTTAATATCTATGAGGTCTGAGGCTTAGGTCAACATCCATCTTTATCAAATATATAGCTATGAGAACTCTTAAAGTAGCTGTTTGGGAAGCTCATAGGGGAGTGTGAACTAAAAATAGACTTTTTCAGATGCTCTGCACATCCCACAGACATCTCTCCTTCTTTCTCTTTCTCTCGCTCTCCTTCTGACACATACACACAGATGCACATATTCTTTTAACTCTAACTGCCACAGAGAAATAAAAACACACAATCCATCCCCAGTTAGAGAATAAATAAAATAAATAAACACAAAGGCTTTTGAACACAAATATTAAACTTAATAATTTCTGCAGCACTTCTAATTATGATGTTCTTTACACTGCCGTCTTCCCTTCAAGAGTCTCCTTCTCATCCCCATCTGGCAGGCAAATAAGCATTTTAATAATATGACTGAGTTGTTTCAGTGTCTCTCCCAGACATCAGAATTGTATCTGATCCAGACAGGTGGTTTGGTAGTTGCAGTGATTAACTCGTCCGAAAATGATTCATGGAAGCATCAAAACACAACATCATTAATATTCAGCTGGTCAAAGATTTGATCATAGCAGTGCACTCAAAACAGAATTGCTTTTTGATGAAGTGTTTCATACACTGGTACTTTATTGTACATAGTGTTCAGCTGGTGCTTTGCCTTTTCTTTTTTCTTATGCATGGAGCTGTGTTGAAAATAGTAGTAGGTGAATGTGATTTCAAGAGTTATGTCCTCTAATTCCATTAGGTTTTTTTGACCTTTACAAAACCTATAGAGGTAATGGTGAAGTTTGCTTTGCACATATTCAGCATTAGCAAAAATTCACAAATGCATTTGGTTTGTGTTTCCACCATTGTGTAACTAATTACAGGAGCATGGTTCTTCCTAAAATCGAGGGAAGTTGCTTCTGTGCATGAGACAGTAAAACAACTTATATTAAAACAACAGAGTGTAAAATTGAATTATAGGAAGAGACACTGGATGTGCCCATGCCTGTGGCCTTGACCTCCCCAATTTCAGGTTCTTCAGCACAGGAGAGCACAAGAACAACTGCATACATCAGTGATGGTCTTCACTTTCAGAATAATGCATCTTGACTCATCCAAGGGCCAGTTCTCTCGCCACTGGCCTTGATACCCATCCTTGTACAAAATGTGTTTTCTTTGGGTTTATGACACGGCTGAAACGCAGACTGTATTGCATTTTTTTCTATCCAATTTCACTCAAACGTACTCTCTCTTTCTTGATCATAGCCGTTTTTTCATGTCAAGAGGAGATTGCAACCATGTAAATATTGATTATTCGATCAGGTCCGAGAGAGCGGTCAGTCGTGAAAAGACAAATTAGCTGCAAGCTGCTGACCAACTGATACAAACTAATCACATCATCGTAAGCGTCCGATTCTATCAATGCTCTGCTCTCCGCAACAGAGTTACAAATCGTCTTATTGTTTTCACTGAAGCTGTGAGATGTTTCCTGTATGCCGACATAAGGCCCAATTAGACTCCCTGTATTTACAGATGGTCCAGATGAACACAAAGCGACACAGGTGCAGCACGGCCAACATCATCTACTGTAACTATGACAACGCTAGACTGATTCAGGACGTGGGAATCGGGGAAGGCTGGGACGCATTTCATCAGTAGGCGATAGTAACAAGCACTGCTTTTAGAGAGAGAGAGAGCATTACAGGACCATGCTAAATATTTTCTCCACTTTCAAATGATGACAAGTGTGTTTTCTCTGTTCTGTAATATAGCTAATGAAAAAAGTAGAAACAATAATAATAGTACCTGAGCATTTCTCCTGCAGCCGCAATCGCTAATCTACAATCTGTCCTCATCATATTGCCTCTAGCATAATATCTCCTACAGTTCAACAGAATGGCCTTATTCATCTATGCAGCTGCGCTCACTACGGCGCACCTTCTCGGGAACGCAATTGAAATTCTGAATAGGCCTAATTCTGCACATGCTGCATTACAAAATGGCTTGCATCCATTCTCTCTTATAAAGGTAATAACATGACTGCACTTAAAAAAATCCATAGGCTCAGTATGGGGGGATACTAAATGTTGACATGCGAAATACAGAGGTTTACATAATGAATCATGTTGAATTAATACATTTGCGAGGGCTGCCACAGCTTTATTCCACTGACATCAACAGTGCCAATATCTTTTGTTGATATTAATAATTCGGTTAAATGTGCAACATTTGCACATTTCATTATTCACTCTTTATCATCTCGTGACTGATGTCAGTATCCATGCAGATTAGGTAACAAATGCAATAATTACCCCGGCCATTTCAGTCCCTTCTACCTGCACCTCCAATAAACACGTACCTTAATGTTTCGGTGGCTGCAGCGTGAGGTCGACGTTTTCTCTCCTCTCGTCCCTTCTCCCGATCGTTTTCTAACCTCGCTATCTGTCTTTCCTTTTCCTCTTCCCTAAATTGATTCGCTTCTTTCCACGGCTGCGAGCTGGCTCTTGTTCTTGTAGGCTAGATCCGCAGCGCCAACGCAACGCGGGGGGCTATGGTGATGGCAGGTTAAAGATGAACACCATCCACACCGACGAGAAAGAACTGAGATCACATTAAGGGTCGCTGAAGAAAAAGATGCTAGTATTGGCACATTTAAAAACGAGGTGTGAGACTAGTGCATCCGTGCGCCTTATCATCCTTGGAGAGGAACGCAGGCAGCAAACGCGACGGCGCCCGCTGGGCAGAGCATTTTGCGTCCAGCATAATCGGCTGTTTACGCACATTCCGTATGTTTTAGTCTGAATCCCAATATAAGAAAACAGTGGAAGAACAGATGAAGAACTAACGAGTGTACGGCGTTCTTTCGATGTTTTAATGGCCATAGACTCTACCTCCACAGTAGGATGTTACCAAAATAAGAGCTATTTTCTGCAGCTTTTTTTAATCAATATGTGGTCAGAATTTTATTACTATGACCCAGCTGCACTCAGTGATCAGCAGAGTCAGTGTGATTCTCCTAATGAAGTGAGCTTTCATGCATTTCTGTCAGTATTAAGAGTTTATCACCGTGGGCACCTGTTTAACCACACACCACCAAACATCTGCAGTGAGAAACCTTTATGGTCCACTGAATCCTAATAGTATATGGGCCTACATACATTAGCAAATATGGTTTAAAACCCAAACCTCCTAATACTTCTGAACTTTGCAAATGTGCCTATAGAGTATTTTGTGAGCAGGGTCCAGGGTTTAGTAAGCTGTGGCATGTGTAATTAAAGAACTGAGAAAACAATGTCAGCAGTTTATTAGCCAATGAAGAAAGCTTTAGTCAGTAAGAGATGCCAGTCTTTTGCTCTAAGTGGCTTCTTTGTATTGATCTTTGTCATGCGTGTCCATGTGTCAAGTGCTTCTGCGCCTCTAACTGTATCAACATCATCACCTTCTGAAGGTGGGTAGCATTTATTTTCATTCAAAATTTGTGCAGAAGAAGAGAAGCACCGCTTTTAGCTTTGCATTCACTATGTTTGTGGGTAAAAATAAATCTCAGTAAATCTTTGCTCTGTTTCAGCTCACACTAAAGGTCAAAGGACAGAGAAGGCCAGCTATGCTTCAGAAGACCCCCAAGATATATACACTCTCTCCTCCTCTCCATCTCTCCCTTTCCTTCCCTCCCTCATCCTCTCCCTTGCTCCTCCCCTCCCTCTCCATGAATGCTGTAGTGAGCATTGTTCACAACCACTAGCTTTTGCTGAAAGCCGCACAGCAATGAGGTCTCTGTGCCTTTTCCCTCTCTCTTCCTCTCCCCTCCCCCTCCTCTGCCTCTCTCTCCCACCCATCTACCTCTCTCTCCATTCCCTCTCTTTCTCCCTCTATTAAATTTCCAGTCACACAGTGGTGCAGAGGATATTCCTCCTTTCCCTCTTTCTCCCTCGTCTTCTTTCTCTGTACATCTTTTTTCCTTCCAAGTCCCCGCGTCATTTAAAATGATTCCACGCCACCCATACCAAACCCACCTTATGCCTCTGCTCTCCTTCCTTCCCCCTCTATGTCCTCACTGTGTCATTGCACAGTGAATCTGATATTCCCCTTATGTATGTATAGTATGCTTGTGAGCGTGCGTGTGTGCAGGCACCCTTGAGCGCGTATGCGTGTCAGTGGGGGCAATGGAGATGAGGGAGGGAGAGGGGCAAGCATTTGAGCACAGTAAATGAACAAACACTCATCGATGTATTGCTTGTGTCATCAGTACAGGAAGGCTCATGGAGTAGAAATACAGTGGAGAGAGCTAATCCCACTACCCAGAAGACTAGTGCATGGCATTTCCAATACAATCCAAACCCCATAAACTCTTAATGCTGTGTTAAGAACCACTGGGGAGGAGAAGGGGAGGGTGATTAGGATTTGGAAGCATCATGCTAGTGCCAAGACATATGTGGCATGCTGATGGCACCAGAGAGGTGTGGATCACACTGTGAAGAAACTTTGGAACGTGCTGATACACATCCATCACTTCTATCATTTGGGGATACTAGCTACAGGCCTTGGCACTCTGGAAGTGAGTGGTTGAGTAATTGCGGGCAGTTTAAAGCAAAAATGAAGAATGTTGATAAACTTTGTAGCAGTAACGCTGAGGTTAGATTTGGGTGAAGAACATTAATGATCTGTTCACTTGCCATAAGTGTCCAGTTGGGATTGGGAACAAAGCAATATTTTCAGGGGTTATTTTTAGAATTGTAGCTGAAAAAGTTGGACTGGTGCTCACTGCCATCTGTGCAAGAGAATAAGAGAGATGCAAGAGAGAGTTTCGAGTTATTCATGGTGACATTCTATTGTTTGTATGTGTGTGTGTGTGTGTGTGTTAGAGAGACAGAGAGGGAGAGGAAATAGAGAGAAAAATCCTAGTGTCACAGTATCTTAGCAACTGCCTCCATCTCCTTGGAGACAAGAACTGACATCATTTCCTGTCTATGAGAACTCACTTTTGGTTTGTACAGTGTGTTTGTGCTTTTGAGTGTGAGGGTATATGTGTGTGTGTCTGTGTTTTGGCTTGTGCAGATGTGGGCTTGCAGTGCTGTTTTGTGCACCAACGCAGACATGAGACCCAGTATTTTAGTATTTCAGTCAGGGTGGGTTCAAGAATGTCACTCAATCTGAAGTTAACAAAAGAAGAGGAAAAGTTATCAGATTTGTATTGGCATTGATTTTTGTTTTAAAAAATGCTTATTTAATTGTTCTTTTATAGATTAGCTGTAAAATCAAAATATCAAGAATAACACTAATAAAAAGTTTACTTCGAAACAGTTTTTTTTTTCTCAAAATAATTTGAAAACCATTTCCTTATAGCTTAAAGTTAAGTCCATAAATTTGTTGTGCCCTGTATTAAAACTAGTTTGTCCTTTTTTAGAATGTGTATACACTTTTATCACCTTCCAGTTTGTATTTTCACAGCCAAGATTCTGTGTTTGCTCTGTCAAGCCTGTCAGGGTCTAGAGATTCTGCTGTTATGTACTGTGCGCCTTTCAAACAGCATTTTTCTTAATGCAGAGAGAATATATCATCTTCAGCTGCCACCTTGTGAGCAGTGGAGTGAAGTGCAATCAGAAATATATTCTCTCCCACCTGTTTCATGCTACTGTACGTTTAACACAGCTTACATAACCACCAGGTATTTCTATAATATTCCCCAAACCTCTAAAAAAAAGGCACCAAACTACATTTATATTACAAGCCTAATTGATTATCTTTTATTTAACATGTGATAAAGGGAAGTGAAATCAGATCACTAGCACTTTTTGAGACTGCAAACGCTAGGAAACTTGGCATTGGGTCCAAGATATCAAATGTTGGCGCATTACATATACACTGGTGATTTTATTTTATTTTTGTATACAAATAATAACTTTGAGTGAGAATAAATATTTACAAGACAGAAGCATCTTCTTGTCCATAGAGTGACTGTAGACATGACTCAGGCTAGCAGTGTGACATAGAGATTTACCATACTTGCATTTCCTGTAATTAGGAAATATGCCATAGGTCATGTTTCTGTTGATTACTCCTACAACACAACAGCTCCATAACTTTTGCCTCTTTAAGTATTCAGTGACATTCAAGATTTGCTCGCATAGAAACAGACCTGGCTGCCAATACATCTGAAGTTAATGATTTTGTTTTGCAGATGCACTGAGCAGGAACTACCAAAATCAACAGAGAGAGACAGAGATTAATGACACTACGTGCACAGTCATGTTTACCAGCTACAGAAACAGGTATGATTCTACACCCTCAGCCCTATAACCTGAAGAAAAATAAGAATGAAAAAGCTTCATTACTAACGACCAGCTTTAACAAGAAGAAGAATGGCTCTGTTACAAAAAGCTAACTGACTGGTGACTCCATACTGTCCATGGCTTGATGTCACAGAAAGAACATCTCAGTGGCCATGAGATATAAGCCCAAGACGTACACAAGGCATCCCACTCTGAAGATGTAGGTCAGGAGGCCGAGTTAGTATCATGAATGTAAAATGCAAAAGTGGCAAAAGGACAAAATAAAATGGCCAATAATCATCACAATACATTGTGACGTACAGTCCAGACCTTGAAAAATAAAAATATGGGTCAGTACATGAAAGAATACAGAGCTTCTACTAGATTATTATTATTCAAGGCTCATAGAGTATGAAACAACCCAGTCAGCAACACAAAGAGCAGCACATCATACAGATCAGCATACAATTTACAGGGCATCCCAGGGGAACCAGCGTTCAACACTGTGCCAAGCTGATGCTTCAGCAGAATTTGCACACTTCAGCAAAGAAAACAACTTCATCATTAAAGCACCCTCAATCAAACAGAAGAGCTGAGTGGAAGATAAGAAAGCAAAGTCATTGTTGCAAAAACCAAAGGCAGATAACTGCAATATCAATATTTCCCTGCAAGACTGTCGTGTACAGAAGGGACATAGACGACTTGACAGTCTCTGCATAAAGTATAGCTTGAAGGTTTGTGGATAAAACAATAATATGTAATGTACAGTATATGTAGCACAATAGGCTAAGAGGCCGCTGACATATGGCATCCCACTCATTTCAGTCGTGTGTCTCGAGACTTTGGTAAGACACTAATAGTCACATAAAGTAATTTTTTTTTACATATATATTTGTCTTGTTACCTTTTCTTTTGATCAGTATGTTAGAATCATGCACTAGTAATGAGAAAGTTTGTTTCCAGACTGAAATAGCTCAATAACTGACACAAAGGTTTGAAGAGAAATTCATGGTTCCCAGATGTTGAATCTTCCTGCACTTGGTGATCTCCTGGCTTTTCATCTAGCCCAACCAGGAGGGTCACATTCGTGGTTTTGAGTGAAATGTCTCACCGATGATCGGACGGATTGCCATGAAATGTGTAGCTTCACCTCTGTTCTCCTGGGTGAGTACAGAATGTCTTGCTGACAATAAGAAGGTATTTTTGTAACGTGAACCTCTAGTCAATAAATGAGCGCAAGAGTGTGTGCATGAGATTGCTTTATTCTGGAATATACAAGCCTACATTTACTAATAAGCAGCGGTGGAAGAAGTAATACCTCAGTGTAGAAATATTCTGATGCGACTTAAAGTCCTGCAAAAGTACAAAAGTATTAGCATGGGAATATTTTTAAAGTACCAGAAATAAAAGTACTTGTTATGCAGAATGGGATATCATATTACAGAATTACAATTACTAATGCATTGTTGTGTTTGCTGTTGTAGCTGGTAAAGGTGGAGCTAATGTTAACTACTTTACTATATACCTATAATTTGAAGTACCTAAAATCTTGCAGTTGTTTTATTAATCTGATTCAGAAAAGTAACTGAAGTAATCAAATAAATGCAGAATGAAGTAACAGAAAATGGAAATACTTGTTTAAAGTAGAAATATCTCAGAATTATACTTGAGTACAATACTTGAGTGAACATACATCTTAAAAACTCATCAGTGAAATTACATCAGTGAAGAAGAAGTGATGTTTCATGCTCATATCTTACAGTCATGTCATGTAACAACAGAGCAAAAAGATTTTTTTAAAAATGACCAAACACATTTACAGTATGTCCAGAGTTCTCCTCAGGCTTTTGATTCCGACAGAGGACATCTGGCAAGCCGTCCTGATGTTTCTTTCTCTCTTTACTTTCTACTTTTCTTTTTCTTGCATATGATGCCCCCACCCTTTACTTTAAAGGTAAACATTGTGGAGATTTAGAATGTTTTTTTCAGCTGCAAAAGAGAGAAGAGAAAACTGTATTAGAAAAAAACAGTGAACAATAACATAAAAAGATGAAGATGTAAATAAACGTAGGCAGATGGAGATGCATCACTCTTAAGCAAAAGAATATGAGCAAAATGTTCAAAATCATTTCTGATGAAAATGTGTTTTTCAAATTGTAAATACATACTCCTGCTGTTCTTTTTAACACAATCACATAATCAGTTTTGCTGACAGGTTGAAATTGAAGTCAAACTACACCATGTAAACAGATGGCTTAGTTTGTGTGATTACCTGTTTACGGACTTTCTTGATTGCCATTTTATTGTGAGGACAACGTAATAGTCCATGTTTCTCATGAAACAGAAAGTTCTCAGAAAGAATGACTTGGCGGTTCTCCAGCTCTTTGAGACTTGGTACAGTGTAGTCTGGGTTATATGTGTGATGCATGGCCATCAGAACCACATTCTTACATCCTAAAGAGAGGCAACACAGCTCATAGTTAAGCTAAATTACAAAACAAAACATAACTTGTTTTAGGTTTTGGCATATTTACCTGCAGCCTTGGATAATGCACATGTAACATCCGTCTCAAAACGACTGACAATGGGACAGAAAACAACAGTCACGTCACTTTCCTCAGGTGATTTAACCTCCTTGAAACGATGTCCTTTGCACAGTTTTTTAAGAAGTTTCTCATGAGCCCCCAAAGTGTTTCCAGCTACCAATGTGTAAATTTTTACCATTTTTCCTAAAAAAGAAAAGAAATAGAGTCAAATTTAAGTTCTAGCCCTAATTTTTGTTTGAGATCCTGGAGATCCCGGGCCCTTTCGACACTTAAATGTGTATAAACATAACTTTATCAGACTGCTGTCATTGTGCCATGTTTGTTCTGATGCCTGCAACAGTAAAGACCCAAGCTGTAACAAAACCTGACCTCACATGGTCCATCCCTCCCCCCAATCACAAATTTGGATCTCTGTTATTATAATTTTATCACAGTTGGTTCGAAGATTCGTATGCATAACACTGTAATGGACATTTCTTTATCTGTGTGACTTTTTAGCAAGGAGAAGGATTATATATATGTTCATATAACATTATAGTTGGCCTAAATAACAGTGCTTTACTGTTACTTCTGTATTTTATCACTATTGGCAAAAGTGTGACACACAAGGGTTAACTTTTATTGTCCGTGTCAATCATCGACTATCCCATTAACCTATGGTGGTCTAAAGGATTTTGAAAATGTTTTTAGAAAAGATAATGGGGAAATCAGAAGCAACATAGTCACCGCAGGGTAGGTAGCTACATATTGTTTAAAACCACCAGTGCCAGGCGCCAGTTGTAGCATTCACCAGCATTTAGCAAATCTTTCATGATTTTCAAGAGCAATAGTGCTTAATAAATCAAGTCAACTTACAGTTGGAGTCGTTTTATGGTCGAATTGTTGTTGTGTTGTGTTACACCGGCCTCTGAAACTGTCAGGAAATCCTACGTTTGACAACCTTTCACTTTCGCTTTAGATCGAATAATAAATTAGGCAGTGTTTGCATTTCCACAATGTGGCCAGCAGGTGTCAGTATTGTGACATTATTGGTTATGCACAGTACTTAAAAGCAAGTAGCTGCAGCTTTTGGGTCCAAGCAATGGCCTCTATATATTGAACAGCTGAAAAATTAAATCAATGTATACTAGAAGTATCTTCTCAAAGGTAAATGCCCTTCAAAAATTTAAGATTTATGATATATGCCAGATTTCAGAAATGTATTCTTGATTTAAACCTACTGATTTGTTGTGACACTCCTCTCTGCCTCATTCTATTAACCTTCACTAAAAAAAGAAAGGAATGTGAAGGCACACAATATGTAGTCACAGCTATAATTGTATTGTAATTAAACATTCTTATTATTTTCTTATTTGTCTACTTTAGCATTTTCTCCTAGAAGAGAGGGTGTTCACTCGTGTTTTTTTCCTGTGTCAAACCTAAAAGTATTTTCTGTCCCTGTCATATTTTATGTCACTTCAAAGAAGTAACACTCTGTTCTGTACTAAACAAAAGCAACACATAGGTTCTGTAATTTAAACTACGAGCAAACTGATTTGCAGTACATAGTATCCTTGACACTGCAAAAAACCAAGCAGCAGGGGTGATAATAACTTTTAGTCACCAAGCCCTATCACAGAGCTTTGCAGGATTCTTGTCCCAAGGTTTGAGTTACCCGCCCTCTTCCTGAGGAAAAAACTCATTCACTAGACGGATTGCTGAGAGGACCTCTCCCACCAGTCCCTATAAATCATTCTTTAATCAGAGGCCTCTGAGATTGGGCACAGAGAGTGCGGGAGCACCACTGACACTTCAGTTCCTCCCTGTGCATCTCTGCAGTCCTGGGAGTTCTTATCCTCTGCATTTGTATCAGTCATCAGGAAACTAACAGTGATGACCCACCCTGCACACTCACCCCAAACCACCCCCCAACACTTCCACCTCTAAGAAAACAGGGATGTCAAGCCTAAGGACAAGATTACTGGTTTCCACAAAAGCACTGGCAATTTAGTACCATTATTCTCAGCACTGAGCATAGACCCTCCTAGGTCCAGGAAAAGCCTCAGCATACAGAGTAAAGCTCCTGTGGGGCTTGCAGATTCAGAGAGACAGGCAGGTAGTGGCTAATCAACTGGATATCGTGGTAGTAGACAAGCAACAGAAGACAGCAGTGGTACTGTATAGATGTAGCAGTTCCCAATGACAGAAACATCAGGAAGAAGGAGTATGAGTAGCTGGAGAAGTACCAGCACCTGAAAGAGGAACTGCAGAGGATGAGGAAAGTGAAGGCCAAAATGGTCCCAGTGGTGATAGAAGCCCTCAGGGCTGTGACTGCTAAGGAGGGAGACTGACTCCAACAGATCCAGGAGCAACATCAGAGCTGTCTGAGGAGTGCAGTGCTAGCATCAGCATATATGAGTAGACTGCACATATGCAATAAACACACATATAGCCTATGTAATACAGCACACATATATTATATTAGATAGATAGATAGATAGATAGATAGATAGATAGATAGATAGATAGATAGATAGATAGATAGATAGATAGATATGTGTTTATAGTGTATATATACACATATATAGTATCTCAGCTGTAATATTGCAGTTTATGGTATTACATGAACTCACATTGACAATGCTGAGTACAGAGCTCATGTTAATGACATATTTGTGGCACAAATAACAGTTATTTTCATCAATGATTAATCTGATTATTGTTTGAATAACCAGTTAATTGCTTGTATAATAAAATTGTAGAAAATAGTTAAGATAGTTTAATGTTCATCACAAAGCACAAACGGGCGTCTTTAAATGTTTTGTCTGGTCATTTGTCAAAAACTCATAGGTATTCAGTTTACTTTGATCATTTACTATAAAACGTTTTGGGCTTTATATTTCAAATTTACATCAAAAATAAAGTAATTGTCAGAATACTGTGCTTGGTTGTTTATAGGCCCGATAGTGCAGTATCAACATTGGACAACCTGAAAATGAAAACAGCAGTGGAGAAACCGAGCTGTTCTGGAGCTTTCCATTGTTTCACATGGTCTTCATTTAGCATTTGGCCAGTTGTCCTGGAATTGCCCAATTAAGCCGAATGTGGACAAGACATACAATAAAAACACATATCGAACTTGAATAAGAAATGTAACCTCAGGTCAGAAAGGAAGAAAACAGCTTCAACACTGAATAACCCATAATGGGGGACTGGAATGTTACTGGTTAACATCATGTAGGTATTATATTATGTGTGTTTATGTGCTGAAAAACTCCACTACTATTTCAGTGTGAACGTTGCTTCATCCTCCACACCTACATCAGCATTTTGCAAACCTATTACATGAGTCTCACACACAGCAGCTACACTGTTTGCCAGAAAGGAAACCTGCAGGACTGGAGGTGAGTACAGTCAGATGAACGAGAGGAGTGAGCTGAACACTTTTTTCATGCAAAGATGCTCTGACGTCACCGTGTTGAAATATTTTCCCGTTGCTCAGCCGGTGTGGAGCTGACAGTCCGCTCAAGTTGCCGGAGAGCGCGCCCGCCCTGCTTCCACTCGTGCGTCATGACCACGGAGCTGTCCAGGAGTTCTGAAGGAGGGTGTCGTCTCCAAACTCCGTGCGCAGTGAAGGATGGCTTTTCAGTTAATGAAGTGAAGAGATGGGACACAGAGGGCTTGTGTTAACATTCTCCGTGATCAAGTGATGGGAGTGTTGAGTGCCAACTGACTGAAGTTTTCTCCTTTTTCTGCTTTGGGGACAGTGGGCAGTTCAGTCAGTTAAGCGACTAAAACAAGCAGAAAATACGGAACGCAGAATCAATTAGAAAACCATGTACTGCTCATATACGTGGAGAGATGGCATGCGTCCTCCTCTTCAGTCGACTTCTGCCCTTCTCACACAGGCTTACAAGAACATCAATTTGTTTATTATCCCTTTTCCTATCATATTTGTGCTACTGTGCACTATTTCCTGCCTATATCATCATACAAAAGTCAGGTGATCTGACGCCCAGCTGTCAGCGTGTCCTGGCTGATGGAGCAAAAAGGACCCTTCAGAAATCCGTGTCCTGCTTTTTCCCGTTGGATGCGAAGCTGACCAGTGCTGAGTCGTCTCAGATGAAAGCCGACCAAAGACACTTGTCTACACAGCACAACGCCAGGAACGACACGCTCAGTCCCCCGGTCGGTTATGTGAAGTTTGGGATCAAAAGGTTACCAAATGCCATTATAGTTGGTGTGAAAAAGGGGGGGACCAGGGCTGTTCTGGAGTTCATAAGAATTCATCCTGATGTGCGAGCAGCTGGAACAGAGACACACTTCTTCGACAGGAACTATGACAGAGGACCGGAGTGGTACAGGTAAGAATGTCTCACCTGTACACCGAGCTGTAAACTCAATGTCTAATCTTTAAACAGATCCTGCAGAAGACACCGGATTCGAGTTTAAGTAGGCTATGGGGCACGAAATGAGAGATTGTTGATGTGATCAGTTGTAAAAGTTTCTGCACTATGGACATATAGTGTCTGTGTTTCACCTATTTGTTTTGTATCTTAAACTGGTTATAGAGTGGATCTGTTTTAAATTCTGCAGCGATCAAATGATCTTTTTTATGATTACAAAAATCACTTAAGGGATGATAGAAGCTGAGATAAATAGAGATCTCTGTTTCCTGTCGGTTAGGGTATACTTCTGAAAATTAAAACCACTCTTCATGTAAAATCAGCTGCTTACTGTGTCTCTTGGGTGCCTGTGTGTGTACAGTGCACTTTGTTTTAAAGTGGGTAAACATGCAGTCTCCCAACTCATTTCACATCCCTATTCCATGAGACTTTGCAGGTCTGAGCTCTATTTACAGAGTAGTTGTACAAGAGTGGACCTCTTTTTATGTACTGTAGAGCAATTCATCACATTTCTCATATAATCCAACCTCTGGAGGCAAACAGTGTAAAGTGTGCAAACCTGCTTTAGCTGTTGTATCTTGTGTGATTATTGAAAGATTTCAAAATGAATCTTAAAGTGAATTTCTTGAGGTTAAAATGCACAGTGAAGCACCTTTGACAAGCTGTATCTCCCGTGAAGTGATTTGTTTGACAGATCATCAAGTATTTATCTGTTTAAGCTCCATAATTACACATTTAAAGCAGTCATATGATGTGGTTTTCTAACAGACAGACAACCAGCCACGCACAAACACACTGATACAGACATCTACAGTACTTCCTAATGCATTTTATTTTAATGAGTGACTGTCATGTTGCCTACAGGAGAGATGTGTATCAGTAACATTATAAAATCATTACAGACTTAAAGTATCTCTGCTAATTGGCACTCTTTAGGACAGCTGGAAGCCCTTTTATCTCAGAGATGTGTCTTAGAGATGTGAACCCTTGCCCATTACTGTAGTTTGACTGTCAGCTGTCAGAAGAAAAGGTCAAATGCCAGCTCACTGACTCTGGTGGATTGCTATCAAAATAAACGGCTACTTCTCTGAAACTCTCTTATAAACACTCATCAATGAAGGATCAGTTATTGGCTGGATAGCCTCCTTCTTATTTTGTTTGATTTAATATCTAAAGAAAAAAGGAGTGATAAAGATCCCTGAAGTTTATTTTCTGAGCACGGATGCATCGGATTGTGACCTCACTCCTGAAAACAAATAAGAAGCAATACATTTGTAATACAACCTGTCCAAAAAGCGCTAAAGGCTGCAGTGCAGAGTCAGATATCCAGGGACGTCTACTCCTGCAGGCAACAAATGAAATGCTTATTTCACAGGAACAGGGAACATTTTATGAATGTAAGCAGAGAACATTAAATAGGCTGCATTTATTTAAATGCTCCAGTGTTTATTTCCCACCTGTTTCAATTCATTTGTACTATTTATTTAGGTAGTGTACCACAAAAATTACTAGATAGGTTAGACAAGATGCGTCACCTATTTGTTTCTGTTAGTCCAGTTGCCATCCAGTGCATCAGCCAACTGGTCCTGTCTGCTGGGATGAATGGGTTTAAAACAATACATGGTCCGCAGAAATCGCCATCCGGTTGTTTTTAAGCAAGCAGCAACTTATACAGTGCAATCAGAATCTTTTCAACGAAGCTTTAAAATGTCAACATGGAGCTTTAAGTTAGAGCTGTAATAAATAGTCAATCAAGTATTAAAATAGTTTAGAATTAATTCAGTTACACACATAATCAAAACATTATCTTGTCGAAGGTACTTAAATGTCTTTTTTGGTTTTGTCTGAACATTAGAATAAACTGACCATTTGGACTGTTGGTCAGACAAAACAAGACATTTCCTGACATTAACTTACAAACTAGAAAATTGTAAAGGGTTTTAAAAACACTTTTCTGATGCTTTTTAGACTAACAGATACATTAATCAGTTGAAAAGATCATGAAAGATGAATTGATGATATAAATAACAATTAGCTGCCTCTTTATAAACTCGGTCCTTGGTCTTGGATGTACTAGTTCCAATAATTGCTTTCAAAGGCCACGGTAGCCTAGTTTGAAGACCTAGAAGCAACCTATCAGAGTCACTCTGCTATATGTGCTCTGTTTGCATTCATGGTGATTTATTACTCTTGAACCACACTGGGCTGCAGAGGAGAGCTGTCTGCAAGACAAGTCTCCAGTGACAACAGAATACTGTGACTTTCCTCAGTGCTCCTTTTATCATTTACATAGAGAAACTGGGTTCAGGGCCAAACCAAAGTTTCTCAGTTAGGGTGCTGTTGTACTGTTGCAACTAACTTGTGTAATCCTGTCCTAAATAGACATTTACAGATACACCTTTTTTTCCTTTTGATTAACTGAATGCAAGGACATTTTGTCCTCTGTGCTTGAATCTGTTAGCCTTTGCAATAATTTAAGCAATTCAAAACAGCAAGAAAATATGATTAAAAAGCACTTAAGGTAATGTAAATTCAAATGAGTAACCTTTATCTTATTGGAACTTTTACTTTGTGTTTTCATCTTTCATTCAGAGGTTTAATGCCAAGGACTCTTGACAGCCAAATCACAATGGAGAAGACGCCAAGCTACTTTGTCACAAAAGAAACCCCACACAGGATCGCTGCCATGTCCCGAGATACCAAACTCATAGTGGTGGTGCGAGACCCCGTCACTCGTGCAATATCAGATTACACTCAGACGTTATCTAAAACTCCTGACCTGCCCAGCTTCCAGGAGCTGGCCTTCAGAAACCAGAGCCTGGGCATTGTGGACACGTCCTGGAACGCCATTCGAATCGGCCTGTACGCTATGCACCTTGAAAACTGGCTCCACTACTTCCCTCTGGCTCAGATCCACTTTGTGAGTGGAGAGCGTCTTATCACAGATCCAGCCGGAGAGTTGGCTCGGGTGCAGGACTTCCTTGGCTTAAAGCGCATTGTCACTGATAAACACTTCTACTTCAACCGCACCAAGGGCTTCCCTTGCCTTAAAAAGCCAGAGAGCAGCGGCTCGCCCCGCTGCCTTGGCAAGTCCAAGGGCAGAACTCATGTGCAGATAGACAGAGATGCTATTGAGCAACTGCGAGACTTCTACAGGCCCTACAATGTCAGGTTTTATGAAATGGTGGGCCATGACTTCAAGTGGGAATAGAGGTCTGAGACATATTTTTATATGGAACAAGATTTATGTGCTCCGGGAATGTTCTTGACTGGCCAACATGTTATGGCTAAGCTACTATCAGCAGTCTCCAGGCTGTTTTCAAGTGCAACAGCAAAAGCAGGATTATTCTTTGAAGTGACACTAATGAACAAAGCACAATCTAAGAGGACTTGCTTTTTTTTTTTGCTTGTAATGGCCACTTACCAGCCAGCATCAGCATCCTGTTGTTGACATCATTTCAGCTTCAGGAACACATGATTTCTGATACTGTATATTATTGCTGACTAGTTTCCCCACTTGCTGACTGGCTTATTAAAAAAAGAGGTTCCAGGGAATGGGATTAGTTCCTCTTAAAACCTGCTGGACTAATCAAAGCATGATGTAAAAGCAAGACCTTGCAAAATGTCAGTGAAGTCTTCAGGGAAAATAGAATTCAGCTGCAGCACTGTGGTAGTAAATCCAAAATGTAAAGCCATAACACAATTGTGAACCACCTCTGTACAGAGCAAAACTTTTTTTTCCCATTTTTTTTCAGCATGAATCATTATTATATGCTGTAACAGGCAGCACTTCACTTTGTACTTTGGGATTCATTTGCAAAACAATGTGTATACCTTTGTTTCAGTATTTCATCACTGCCTCATGCACAATGCTTGTCCGCAAACCTCATTAAATGAAACAGAAGCACAAATACTTTTATGAAATTATTAATTCTCTGTCATTCCAAACCTTGACCTTGATAAATTGCATTTCACAAAAAAAACGCATGCTGAGTGGTTTTTTTAAACCCCTTCTTACTTGTCGCTTTTGTTTGATTCTTATAAACCCACGTACCAAATCAAACATTTGTCCTACAAGCTCGGCATCATGATGAGTTCTTAGAAAATCTTCTTCGAATCTGCTCCTGTTTCACATCTAGTTAATACAATAGTTATTTTCAGCTGATTAGACCACTTAGAGTTTTTACATTTGTCATCTGTGGCGCCAGTGGAAACATATCCTTTGAGATTTACTGCATTGTGAAAGGTTTGTTGTGGGCCGTGGTGGTAGGTGGATGAGTGGGTGTAGGTGTAAGGAATTTCAATCACCTTTCAAAGACAAAGCAGGGAACACCTAGTCCTGGCAGGTTATCAAAAAGATTCTAGGTCTGCATGTCACATGATTGCTGTGAAAAGTTTGGATTTGGCTTTATGGTGTGAATACTAAAGCCAGGCTGGCTGAACCTGGGGCAGAGGGATGCACTAGTACGGAATAAAAACACTATGATACAAGAAGGGGGATGCAAGTATATGCTTTATGATTTGAAGCAGTGTAGAGTGAATCATCAGGCACAGAAATGCCCCATCACACAATGTGATATTAACATTAATCCTTTAGATTACTCTCTAAATGTATGCTTTAAATTACAGTCAAATCATTTAGTCAGTCATTTAGGGTGCTAATATCTATATGTATACAGAAGAAGAAGACATTGAACAAAGGAGTAACAACTTTGTATAGTACCTTTTCCATGTTAATATGTATGGCTACAGCAATATTATTAACAGGTTACAAGGCAGGTAGAGAAAATAAATTAAAACCATGACCATGTGGAAGCTGAAAATATAAAATGAGAGTGTATTGTGTCTTTTTATTATTATGAAATATTTACTAAAACTGCTTTTGGGAACAACAGTGAAAAGGTTTTACATATGATGCATTTATTAATATAGTTTCAACATGTGTTTTTTTTTTTTTTTGCTTTTATTGTTGCTGGGTGGTGTAATTAAGTATTTTTATTGAAGTTCTGTATTTAAATATAAATTTGAGCTGCTTGTATTTTACTTGAGTTTTTCACTTAATTCAGATTTATACTACGTCTCTGAGGCATGTGTTAAACATTTTACTCCACTACATTTGTCTGACAGCTGCAGTTACTAGGTACTTTTCACGTTACAAGCTGTACACTTCCTGTACTATGAAAAACATGGCGCAGGGATCGGTTGTCTGCATAATGAATACTTTTACTTTTGATACTTTGGTGCTAATACTTGCTTGCTGCTTGGAATGCAGGATTTTACTCATAGCTGAGTATTTTTGCAGTGTGTTGTTTCACCTTTATATTTACTTTTACTCCAGCTTTTATAGCTATAACTGTTAGTTATGTTTATGGCTTTAAAATGGTGATAAAGTACTGGGGAACAGTATTGTAGCTCGTTTTCACTTCCATTGTAGCTTTTTTTGGCTTGATAAATCAATAGATCATAGACTGTAAAGGAGCCAAACGCACATACTGTATATTCAGTCACAAATTATATTGAGGTTTGTTGAACAACAAATATTCTCTCACTTTCTCTTCTCTCTCTCTCTCTCTCTCTCTCACCCACTCTCTCTTTTAAAGCATACATCAGTAATACAAGCCAATAATTACCAGTATTTTGGTGACACTACACTATAATCAGAACAAAGTGTTGAAAATCTGTGTGAAAGCTCTGTTATTACCGTGTTAATTCAGGGTATGTAGACTTTAAAACACTGTAAAATGGCTCTGTTCACCACTTGTTTACAGTAATTACGGTGTAGCTACAGAGTGTATGGCACATAATGGGATGTCTGTACCTTATACTTGTTCCGTATGTAGCCTACAGGGTATTTGATTCATGTATTACCTCCTCATTCCCTTTATTTCTTTCTTGTACCTATACCAGTAAATATTTCACTGGGATTCCTACAGTATGTGCAAAATATTTACACTGCAACTCGTGGGCTGTAATTCAATGTGTCACCAATATTATTTTCAGTTCCAAAATAAAATCATGGAGTTTATTGCACACTACAGAAACCAAGAACTGAATCAATATCAAGATTTTTAGATGCTACACATGAGTAAGCAGACACATGGATGCTGTATATAGAGGGCTCACTGAAACAGAACAGCAGAGACTTACTCAGCATTTTGATGTGTATCTTTCAATATCACAAATAATAGACAGTGGAACACTGAACTCTGAGAATTTGTTTTCTTAAGTAATAACACTCATTAATAATGATTTTGCTTCTAGTGAAATGTAGGACGCATTGCTCATCTCTGTTATCGACATACCTCAAGAGTCTTTTATCTATTTGAATACTATTTCATCTGAAGCCCTTTGAAATGTGAATGTAACTGGGTGGCTTTTGAAGATTTTGACATAGAAATAGAAGGATGAGCTCAGGAAGCCGAAACCCTGTTCCTGTTTTTGCACTGCTATATGTTCAGGCTTTCCTTCTCCTCATTCTTTGCCTGTTCTGCAAATGGTCACACTGCATTGTTACAAGAGAAATCATAAAAGATGCTCCACTCTGTGTGACCCTCTGTCAGCCCAGATGTCTGCCTTTACTTTCTCGTTCTCCTCTCAGCTTCGCTTTCACTCACCATGTCTCTCCCTGTCCTAACATTCATTAAATGCATGCGACCTCTAGGTGTGGGTGTAGGCAGTGTGGCTCATCAAAAGCGCTGCAGCCACACTGCCTACACCCCCACCACTTTTGATGGCCCCTTCTTGTCATTGTGTTTGCCAGCAGCTCACAAGCCCACATATCTGGTTCCTACTGTACAGGTGAGCGTCTACCTGACCATCACTGTGAGCAGCAACTTTTCATATGGTACACATGGGTCCTAATTAGGCCTGAGGGCTGGAGAGGAGCAATCCCCTAGAACAAGCATCAGCCAGAGTCTGATTAGACTCTGCTAGTGAACGGCTCTCCAGGGATCACTCGCAGGTCAAATCTCTCCCTCTCTCGCTCATGCACATACACACACTAAGCTTTCTTTTCAAATATAAATCCCCTCAGGAACCAGCTCACGCAAATCCTTTGCATTTCGGAGCACGATGATGTGACCTATTTACACTCAAGCTAATGAGGTGCTTGTTAAGCTTAATGAGTATTCATTAAAACTAATGTGTGAATATTGCGTTAATATGTTTTCCTGTTGTTATGAACCCTATGGCTAAACGGACCACTTCAAACAAATCCCTGTATACTGTTGGGTTTAATGTGTTGAATATTTTTAATCAAAAGTGCTTTGCTATATAATACAATTGGCATGATTGCCGTACATGGAGCTCTCTGGTAATTATTAAATGCTCAAAATACCTGAAGGAGTCAGTTAATACTTTACTGTTGATAAGCACTAGCTATTCCCGAGACTAATAATAAGACTTCAAGGACAAGAGTAGACACATTTTGTTCTTTTTATCTTTCTCGCTCAATATAAAGTTTTAGAAAGAGGTTTAGAGTGCTCTTAATAGCAATTTTTTAACATTGTGATTTGATATTGATTCATGTTTAAAGCAGTAGTATAAAAAAATGTGTACGCATGCCGTGTTGGATGTTGGGACAGGTGCGCCATGTTGGGAGGGAGGCGTTGCATTTACCTGCACACATTCTTGTTTTGTTTGGTTTAAAAGTTGCTTAAATCATTTAGATCTCTCTTTACTGACTGTGGTAATTCAAAATGGATAACCTTAGCTGACTGTAGCTATGTAACTCGTAGCAGACATAGAGATCCTGTCAAGCAACAGACTGAAAAATGACTCTGCACCCTGATCTCAGCTCTCAGTTTTGGAGCTAATGCTAGCTAGCAGCTGTCGGCAGATAACACAGACACTGTAGATGAATCCATTACTGTCCTAGCTGTGCTCAAACTGAACACTAAAGTAGATGTTTGGACATAGAAGAAGCATCCACTATGTATGACGCTGTATGGGAAAGTCTTTCTTTAAATTAACTTATAGATCTATGTTGTGTACACAGTATATCTATGATGGATAATGAGCTTGATCCCTTCACATTCTTTATAGTTTTTTTCTGGAGGAGTGAACATCAAAACAAAAAAAATTATGTTTGCATAAACATACAAACTGTAATAATGTGGAGTGCAGTGGTTGAATGTTACAGTGGTGTTCCTGGAGATAATATGGTTCATCTCCTTAATGTGGCTTTAAACAGTCACTCTTTTAGATTTTCAGTGAATGTAGAATTAAGTTGAAATCATTGGCAAATAATAATTCCAAAAGGAATTCTCCCCAGAAATGGCAAAAGTCCAGTCATTTTAACATATAAATGTTAATTTTAGTGTATGTATATAGGAAAAATGCATGTATATGCAGGTTCTATTTACGCTGAAGTGAATCAGAATAGCACCGGTTCACACTGCCTTCCTCATGCTTTGCTGAGGATGTTCACATGAGATAGAATGAGGTTCCCTGGTATCCGAGTGAGACGGCAGCTGACACTGCAGAGGCAGGGATTCAGCAGCTTGTTCAGCCCTGATGCTTCAGAATAGTTTAACTTCTGCAGCCGACAGGATATCCCAGCGGTCGAAATCACCAGTGACTTAGGAGCCAAATTAAAATGAAGTGTCGACAACTGTGGCTCAGTCTCAAGTATGTAATGATACATGCTCTGTAACTATTTGCAGACCAATGTTGGAACTGGAGTCTGTAGGGATGACACTTAATAAGGATGTGCATGTGATGTACTCCAGGCTTATGGAGGAAATCAAGGAAAAGGAGACATGAAGTGTAACAAAAATAAGTTTCAAATGAAATGGAATTATAAATATAGGCCATATTCTTGACTCACCTACTGTGTCTTTCTTTTTTGAGTTTTATTTTACACCGATGGCCAGTCCAAAACCAGCCAAACATTTTTATTTCATTTGCATTCAGATCTTTGCACATATTTTACAAATCAACAGCCACCTGCCTGCCCCTTTTTAACTTGTCTTCAGCAAAGAGAGGAAGATGATAAAGATGTGAGATTTAGTTTGACACGTGTCTTTTCGAGATTTAGCTCTGTGAAATTCTTCAGTGTTTTCCAAATTAGAAACAGTTGTTCAGTGCCATCTCCTTGTTGCTGTATTTGTTTGTCAGCTGAGTGAGATGCTGTTTTCTGTGGAGCAGCTAAATTAAGGTAAAAAGCTGATTAAACTGGAGAAGTAGTCAGACTTCAGCATCTCTCTCACCAGGAGATGTGTTCTAATTAGAGTTCATGCCTCGTGTCTCACTGAGGAGAATAACAAACCTCACCCTGTGGCTACCGCCATCCTCAGCAAACCAAAACACATCTGATGTATCAGGAACCCCTGGACTCCAGACCACACCTGAGTCGGCTTTCAGCGCATTAGGCTTTTGATGGGGTTTACATCACATGGCAGCACTCTCTGAGCAGGGAGCCTTGCAGAGCTGGAGGAAAAATGAGGATAGCCAGGCAGAGTGGCTCTGCATGCAGGTGTTGATGCCCATACAGTTCAGTGAGATCACGTGTACATCTCTGAACTCCAATCATGAGCAAACTGGAAATTCTATCATTAGGTTCGTTGTTTCTATTCTGAGGTTTTACTACTAAGAAAACATTAGGAGCCAAGCTAAACCTAGATGATGCTCTGGGAGCTGTGATGATGGCATTTAAGAAGCAAAGATGATCCTGTATAAACCTGCTCTATCTGGCTTGGTTTGTTGTGCAAACACCCTGAAGTATATTATTCAGTATGAGGGTAAGATCGGCTGACATGTGAAAGTGTGAGATTTTAAAGGGATGTCATGTTTGATTTGCTACCCTGAAAGAAGAGCTGCTTTTGCGCAATCTGTCTTTTCATTTAATGGAATCATCTCCCTGTTGCATTAAAATCATGTTCGATTTTCATAATTTCTCTCATCAATCAAAAAAAAAAAGGATTCAAAAAAACAGACTTGTTAGCATTAATTTGACATTTGAAATGAAATTTTATGGGTTTGAATTTAACTGACTATAGAATTTTTTTAACAACAAGGGGATTGTTTGGGTGGTAGTAATGGAATAGATGTAGCAAGGTGGAGCGGGACGGTGGGGGGTATTTTGGTATACTATATGTATTTTCTATTATGCAGTTTCTAGTATAGCGATGTTATGATTTAGTGGTTTGTATTACATGGTTGTATTTGCTCATTTTACTGAGAGTGGTGAATCATCTCTTCTCATGGCCCCTGATAAATAAACTTTATAATAACCATAATGTTTATAATTTGTTGAGTAAGACAAAATATTCTACTCTAAGACAATTTATGCTCCTGAAAACAATTTCTGATCCGTAAATAATGGTTTTGTATTTAATTAACTATTATCATTATGTTTCACATTAGCAGAATAACTTGATATTAATATGACTTGCAATACATTTTAAAAATAACACACACTAAAATAACTGTTTATATTTCTAGGCCTATTGTTAATCCAATATTATTTTAATGATTCATCATCTTTAATCTGAAAACAGCCTGTACATTCAAATTTTGAGTTTCAGTGACTAATTGCCTATTAGTCCGTCTCAGTTTCCACTAGCATTAAGGCAATATAATATTATCTCTAGGATTTTTGGCAATTATTTCCATCACAGAAATGTAATTGTACTCAGTCATAAATTAAATAATAAATTCTTTGTTGTGCTCATTATACCGTAACATCAGTGCTTACATGCACACACACACATACACACTCTCACAGGCAGAGGATGGTCCAGCCTCCCCAGGCGGCTTGTCTCAGATTGGATGTCAGATGCTGGAGACAGCTGCACTCATCACAGCTTTTATGAATATATTACCTTTTATGTTCATCCAAACACTAATTTATCTTCCTCAGAAAAATCAAAAAGGACAGATATTCACTCACCAGTCCTCAGGAAAATTGGAACTTTCAGAAACTGCTGTGTGTAAGACAAATATCTGCAGCAAAAATAAATCCTTCAGCTGCTGGTAATTCAGACCTTATCTCTGACAGAGTGTGTGCTCTCTGTTTGTACCCGCATGTTTTTTTTAAGAAGGATGGCTTATGAAATATCAAAGTGCGCTATTTGCCTCCATGAAACTCCACAACATCAAAGACTTTCCCTCTCTCCCACAAGAACCTCGAGTTTTTTGACCCATGCAGCTTTGTCTGTCTTCTATCTCAGCATTGCTCTAAAGGCAAAAGCCTCTAATGATACAGGATTCAAGATGGAGAGACTGCTGCCAAGAATATGAAAAAAAAAACCATCAACGACTAAACAGACACACTTTGGTTGATGATTGACATCCCTGCATCTTTTTATTATTCCTGTGATGTTCGTCCAGACACACTAATGCCAGAAAGTGTGGCCTAACACTTTGGCTGATGCAGCAATCTGGTGATATGCGCCTCTCTGCTTGCCAACCACCTGGCTGGAAGAGGCATAATAAACCTCTCAGTCAATCATTCCTCGCACAGCCAATGGTGTAGGATGAGTGTCAGAGGAAGCATGGCAGACATGCGCTGGCTGTATGTCCAACTCTGACACTTCGCACCTTGCTCTCTAGCATTCTGATGAGTCCTCCCTGTATTGGCAAGGCCTTGAGATTCCAGCTACCCACTGTTGTGCATTATATAGATAAAGCAATGTGCAATGTGTGGGAGGATTATGAGCGCTTGGTGTCAGACATTTAACAGGTTAATGTTTTTGTAATCTTAAGCAGAACGATCACATGGTTGCCTAAAATGTTATTGATTTATTTAAAGGAAAATGACGCTAAAATTAAAGCCTTATCATTAAAGCTGCGGTTGCTTAGTGGAGGAATGAGCGATCCTGTCTGTGGTCACCCAGTTTATGGGATGTGGCTCTGCACCACAGACAATAGCACAGCAGTGTCCCTGGGTGTTAAAGTTGCTTTCAGAGCACCACTGCAATGCTTGGGGTTATGTAATACTGTGCTATGGCTATCCCACATGACAGGTCATGTGTACTGCATTGCCTAAAAAGCAGCTCTCACTCTGACTGCACCCAAGGCTTGCTAGATTTTTGATCTCCAATTAAAAGGGAACTAACATACTGCATCACTGGACTCAAAAGCGGAGAAGTGAATAATTGATTTTGTTTTTGATTCAGCAGGGGGAGGAAAGAATCTGACTCACACTGAAAACACATTTAGTCACATCTAGGCAGCTGCTTCATTTGATGCTAAAAGCTACATGTTAAGATGATAAAATTACAGAATCATTTTGTAGCATTTTGTAGTAATTCCGAGTACTTTTTCCAACTCTGACAAAAAAAAGTGTATTTTTATTAGAAGCCATGTTTTTCCCAAGTTATTGCAGTTTCTCCTGTCAAAGGTGTCGGTTGCTGGGAGCATTTATATACTGTGCACGATTTAGGTTGACAAAAAGGGTCATACACCACAAGGTAACTAGAAAAAACTACTGGAATATTAACTGGAAGACTGGACTGGAATTAAAAACACTCTTATTTGTGGTCACTGAAATGATATCTAATATCCATAATAATATCTAATTCTAATATCTATATCTAATCACATATCAGGCTTGAAATTTCATTGCTAATACTTATAATACCTGTTGTAAATTTACAGTTTTAAGAAAATTCTTCAACAAAACTGGATGCATGATATAATTCATTTGTGCTTGATTTATTAAGAAAAGATAAAAAGATGAATAAATTACTCAAAAGGCTTTTGTTATGCTGTGAGAAACACAGCACACTTTTCTCTGGTCTATAAATACCAACATATGGTATCTTACTTGAGTGGTACTCAACTCAGTTACTACCACCTGCTTCTGAAAGTCTCACATCTGTCTTGTATTTCCTATTGATGAGAATGAACAATATACTTATGAAATGCTTGAGCCTGCTTTCTAATGTCCCAGACACCTCTGGGTTTTCATCTGTGATCTGTATGGATAAGAGAAAGAATATATAGTAATACAAAAACACTGAGAAATCAGGGGGTGGACACAATATCATAGTAGTGGCAACTGAACAGTAATTTTTTATCGTAGTTTAGTGTGTGTTGTATTTCATTGCGGCATCAGATAATACATACTAATACTGTCGCTGCAAACATGGTCTTAAGAATTATACCATACGGCTGAATAAATAATACTTGGAATAATTTCTACAGCAACATCAACAATGCTGCAGGGCTATTGGATCTGATTATACTGTACGTGTTACAGAGGTGCTTACAGTATATCACCTTCACCACAGTGCATTGATCCATCCAAACAGCAAGCAGTGAAAACTAATCACGAAGGTCCTGCTCATGGTCTCCTTGTATCCAGGGATAGAATGTCTCAAAATGGAGATTTATCAGCAGCAATAAGGATTGAATTTGGCCCTAGGAGATACCAAGACTGGATTGATCAATAAGATTAGATTGTCTTTCTACAAAGCATCAAGCACATTAATGTAGCAACAGCAAAACATATCAACTAAATCAACATGAAGGCTATGTCATGGTCTGTGTGTTAAATCCAGATAAAAGTTGCTCAATTCTCCACCGAGGTCTTAGTAATGATGTTCTCTTGGAAATGATACAATTGGCAAGTGATTATTGATTTCAGCACTAGAGGAGCCTGGCTTCTGTACAGAATGATCTGGTGTTGGGCTGCAGTCGGTGAATTTTTTATTTACATCCATATGTGCATATTAATTGAGCTTTTTTTTTTTTTTTTTTTACTTTGGATGCACTCTAAATGTCCAGTTCTGCTAAGCTAAAGTGCACAGAGCCTTACTGCTACATGTCAAAGGAAGCATGTTGCAGCCCCATCACACCACAGGCAATTTTTAAAATTTCATCACATCTCAGACTGCACGAGCGCCGAGAAGTGAGAGGGTGAAAATGTAATTTCCAAAACTGATGACTGTTATACAAAATTACAAGAATAGAAAGACAAAGAGGCAGCATTAACTCTTAGTATTCCCAGCCCTGGGCAAAACTAATAACACCACAATTGAATCAGCTCTAAATAAATGATGGTGCAGTTTAATAACATATCATCTCCTTCACTGACAGCATTAGACATGATGCTACTATATATCTTAATAATCCCACAAGTTCAAATCAAAGGGCATTGCTCAGAATAAATTCACATTGAGTGTTTCTTAATTTCTCTAAATCATTATTTGTGTGTCTGCTGAGATTTTCTGGCAAACACTGAGCACCACCAAGTGGGGAAAATGGGAAACATGAACCAAAGAGCTACAGGTTAACAAGCCGCTATTTAATGATGTGATCTTATTTTGTTGTTGTTCTGTCTTGCATTGCTAAATCAGGGCCAACACACACTGCTACTCCCCAAAATGGATGAAAACAGTATGGCAATAATTATATTGTATCACAGAATAAGTGGAAAAATAGATCTTAAATTATTGCGTGTCCTGTATTATATGTCCTGGTGGAAATAAATCATTGCCTCATAGCATCTCATAATATTCATACATCCCTCTTCTGATGCCATTAACACTGCAAGGTTTCGCTTAAAGTTTATATGACATAAGTCACTTTATATACTGCACGTGTTGGGTGTAATGGCACTGTATCAACACACTGCAGCCACCATGTTTTGATTTATTCTGTCAGAAGGTCTATAAAGTGGCAGTGTTGTAGTCCGATTCAAGTCTCAAGTCCAAGGTGTTCATGTCCGAGTCAAGTCCTAATCACCAAAGAGTCAAGTCCCATTACCTGAGTCATAGTCATCAAGGTCTACATTAAACACAAATGACGCAGCTTCTCACCATTTTATGTTCCAAACTTTGTTAACAGTGTATTGCAACACCATATTTCTCAGTAATTTGATTAATAAAAATCATTTATAGAAAGGTGGGGTGTAAGCTTTAATGGAAGTGTGCCAGATACAATATAGTAGGGGTGAACAGGTTTTTATATCAATATCTTAGGCCAAATCATTATGGCCTATTACAAAAAACAATATATAAATAAATCAATTTTTAAAAATTAAAAAAGTCCAAGCCCTTGTCTCCATCTTCCGTGTCCAAATGCAGTCAATGCTCGAATTCAAGTCCCAGTCATCAGTGGTCAAGTCCAAGTCGAGTCACGAGTCCTGAAAATCTGGACTCGAGGGGGACAAGCCGAGTGCTGGACTCGAGTACTATAAGACTGCAAAGTGGTTCATGGTCCAGCTGCTTGGGTCAATGATGTTCATTCCTCCTTGATCATGGCGCTTAGACAGTCTGTGTACAGCATCTAAAATTCTGTTGTATATATATATATATATGTCAGTAGTACATTTGTATTTGGTGGGACGCCTGTTATAAAATTAGCTTATGATGCCTTCCAGTGCAATCGTTCAGTCTCTTAATGTGCCATTGGAGTTTCTTGTGCACTTCACACCTAAAACTATGATGAGAAATGAAAGTTATACCACAAGTTGTAAAGTGCTGCAATGTTCTTTTGCCACAGCCATATGAAAAGCTCCCTGGTTAAACCTTTTCATGAGGAAAAACATGTGACAAATGAATACAATAGAGAAAACATTCATTTGCAGTGAGCTGATTTACTTTGAGAGGGTGAACGAGCAATACTTATCATTCATACCAAATCTATATTACTTTGAGGAAATGTGCAAACAAAGCCTTAATAAAAGATGCCTTAACATGCTCTCTGATGCTGGCATTTGGAAAAATATACACTTAGAAATATATACACATCCAAGAGTAGCACATACTCAGTGTGGGCATTAGCAAGGATCTGCTTGCATAGTTTAGTGCATGCATAAGCAATTTATCATGCAACAACTGTCGTGTACCTCAGGAATGGCGATCTCTTTCCTCAGTCTATGTCAGCGCACTGCAGGGCCTATTTGCTTTGTATTGCAAGCTAAAGCTGTGCACAAGCTGTGATCTCTGTGAAATGTGAGCTGATTCAAACACACCATAATGCTCTATGTACATGTATGGTGTTCAACAAAGGCATCCCACTGTCTCTGAATACGCTGTCTGTGTGTGTGCGTGGAGTGGTTTTGTACATTAACCCTGTGTTCAAGTCAGAGGAATGTTTGGAGATGTCTGGCAGTCTGAAGAGGCTGATCCCCACGAGGAACATGGGCATCACGGTTAAGTGTTGGCATCAGCAGCTGGAGGGAAGAGGGGGGGACAGTGGCGGGTCATCTGAGGGGGTAACAGACTGGTAAGTAAAACACATACATTTAAAAACCATTACAAACAAAGGTCTCCAGACAATACATGCTTCATTCCTGCACTTCTCCTCGGCCTCTCGATGACTGTCTGATTTTGACTGCACAAAAATACATCTTAAAGGTTGTTGCACAATTTATATCAAAATCATAAACAGCAGTTCAGGTTAAATATGTGTAATTGTGTTTTACTTGAAATGACACTTTCAGTGTTTAAATATTAAAATTGAATTATAAATTTACCAACACCTGTAGTTATACAATTTTGATTAAATGTTTCACTCTGACTATCTGAGGCACTGGTGTTTGTTGTTGACATATGGCTCTCTGTACTGAAGGAGAGCTGTGAATAAAGACTTTTGGAAATAATTCAGTGCTGCACTGCATCAGCATGTTAAAAACTGCCAGTAAACTTCCTTTGGTGACTGAGTAGTCCAAGGTTGATGTATCACAAAAGTTTCCTTCCATCAATATATTTCCATCTTGTGCAAAGTCCCATTTATTTTCACCTACCACTGAGATGTATTACTTTTTCCCAGCCATGCTACGGATAGAACAAGGCAGTAATTTCATTATATGTGCAGTCCATGCTTATGTACAATACAAGATAATATTCCTCAATATCAACGCAATCTATACAAAGTGCTTTGTTAAAATCCGTTCCTACATATCTGTTTAACAATGTGGACAGTAAGTGTCCAGTGTGGCAGCTGGCACTGAAAAGCTACAGGTGCTGTCAGACATTCTGTCTTGTTTGGTGGTTAAAAGACCTCAGAGCTGCTCTAGAAAGATTGCTATCAGGTGCACCGACTAATGTCACTTGGACCTCTGGCTAGTTTGTGTAGAGCTGATGGGGATTTTCCTGGACGGCAATGTTTTTTTAGCAGGCTCTTTCTTCAAAGTGTCTTTTGCAATGGCTGAGGACTGGGTGGTAATTTCAGCTCCAGAAAGATTGGACTTTGTGGAGGGCACCAATGAATGTTTAGCTGCAGCTGACGTTTTAGAGGATTCTTTGTCTTTGGCTGTGGTTAAGATAGTCTGGGCTTCTGAAGCCACATTCTGAGCTTTTTTGCTTGCTCCATGCGGGATTCCTTCTTTAGCTGCCTCTCCACCACCATCCTCTGGACTTCCTTTACCTTCACCCGCCCCTGCTTTCCCACCATCAGCTGATTTACGTGTCTCTTTGGGCCTCAGAGCAGTTTTGAAGAAGGACAAGCCTTTGTCTTCTGTCTTACTGTTGCTACGAGGTCCCCTTAATGGTGGGGTGACGCTTGCTGAGGAAACACCCACACTTGAGGAACGAAGACTAGTCATGGAGGAGCTACTGCTTGAACTCCGACCCACTGTCCTGTTCTCCGCAGTCCGACCTGGCCTGGCCTCCACTCTACTAGCAGCACTTGACCTGGAGGGAGGACCTCCATGGCTAACCTTCCTCTCAGATACTGCATTGGTCCGTGAGGATTCACGGCTAGTGCTCCTGTCTGCTGCTTTAGTTCTTCCTGAAGCTGAGCTTTTGTCGCCTCCCCCCCTGGGAGATGTCCTCCTCTGAGGGTATGAGCTTTGTAATCCTGGAGAACCATTCTTTCTCTGTTGGGCAGAGTCAGGGTGTAATACCTCTGGGGTTTGGGATGACCCTTTCTTGGAGGGGGTTGCTGTTCTTGAGGAACCACCCTTGCTAGTTTTGGGAGGTCCATCATTTTTGTCCTTGGGGTTTGATGCTGATGGTGCAGCCTTGGTCTGTGTTCGAGAGGGAGACTTATCAAAGGCCGGGGACTTAGGAGACAGAGAGCTGGATGATGTTGAGGAGATGGCAGGGCGCTTCTTGGGACTCCTTTCACTCTCTAACCCTGTCTTTGCTGAAGTCTTTTTGACACCAGAGATATCTGCTGCCCCATTCCTTTGTTTCGGCTCCTTTGCAGCTGCCCCATGTCGGGGACTGATCTGTTCAGCAGCAGTGACTACACTCTTGTTATCCCCAGCCTGGATGGAGCTCCTCTGCTCTGCCTGTGCCACAACCTTGGAATGAATTTGCTCTATCAGCCTCTTACTGCTCAGATTACTATCCAAAGCTGCCAGGGCCGTCTTGCCCCCTGACATTCTGTCTGGCTTAGGTGACCCAGTGCAGCAGGAGGTTGACAGCTTATTATCAACCACCTCTCCTATCCTCTCCAGTGTCTGGGAAGAGGAGTGGGACTCCAGGGAGAAGCGTGAGGGAGAGTTGGAGCGTAGCTGGAGCTTAGCAGAGTGTGACCAGGACGGTTTAGTGCCATTTTCACTGAGAGCCAGTGGACTGGCAATGGAAGATCTCGAGGAGAATGTTTGTCTTTGCATGCCCCTTACAGCTGGTCGGGTCGATAAGCCTGCATTGAAGAAAAAGACACATTGATTTTTAGAGTCATATTTATGAAACTATTTAGATATCGCCTGTTTTTGGATGAGCGTCTGTCACCATCGTCCTCGCTCCGTTCACCAGCAAACTCGGCAGACTCGGAGAGAGAGGCCAACGAGGTGCGTCTGGAGGAGCCAGATGAGGCTTGGCTGGGTGGACGGCTCCCCATCAGCCGACTAATCCAGTGCTCACACAAGGAAGAGCTGGTGGATCCTACAGGCCCAAAAAGAGAGTGGTCGAACGTGAAAAGTATTCCATTCAGAACCCCAAAACATGCACAGTATGTAAAAAGTGCACAGTCTAATATGAATAAAAATTACCTCCCACGGAGCTGTTGGCAGACCAAGATGGAACAGTGGCACGTCTTTGATAAAACAAAATGTAAGCAGTCTGTTTACAGACCTCATCCTCAGACATGGGATGAACATCGCTATCATCAAAGCAATACCACTGTCCATCAATGGAGTTCTTACAGTGAGCTGCAAGATACAATGAAATAAAATACTATAATTATCTTGGAAAGCTTTTATGAAATAAAAACAGTTAATACAACAGGGTCATTTCTTTTTCCACTGACTGTGTATGATGTTCCCTTACCTGTGTAATGTCCTCCCTGCATGGTCCCATGATGGTTACACACCGCATACAGGTCATAAAGGTAGTCCTCAGGATCACGGCCCATCCCATAAGGCCGTCTCCATGGTGACCAGTGGGAGGGGAGACTCCAGCTACTCTGGCTCCTCTTTACCATATGGGGTGCCATGTCCATGCTCGTCAGTGGGAACTTCACCATGTTCTGCATTTTCATCCGTCGATCTCCATCCTTAAAAGAAGCAACGCACTTATGGCATTTACTTTTGTTATTCATTGTAAAGGCCACTTCTTTTAAAAGCAATTCCTGCACAGTATATAAGAAGCTATAATCCCACGAGCTCATCTACCTGTCTAAAGCGCTTCAAGTGAAGTATGAGGATGTCTGGCAGGGTCCAGAGACTAAGCTTGATGCTGCCCTGCTGAAGCTGCTTACAATGTGGACATCGCCATGCATCATCAGGAGCAAGCTGAAATTATGTCAAAAATAGTTGGCCATTAAAAAAAGCAACTCATTTTTATCTCACCTTTGTATAATAAAACATTTTGATGGGTGACCTGACACTATGCTTCAGTCTACCTGTTCCTCTTTGGTGTAGAGCTGAAAGCACTGGGCAAGGGAGCAGGTCTGAGGCTGAAGGTGCTGCTCCTTTACTTGACGCACGCTTTCAGCATCTGGGATGTATTCATCCTCAGTCCTTTTGAACAGACTGCAGGTACAACATGGCACAAGTCACACAGGGATCACAACAAAACAAAGGACATTTATTATATGTGTATTTGCTTCAACTGCACTGCTCTGAAAGAAGACACACTGTATCTTACTTACTAGTCTTTCGTCTCCTTGTCCCATTCAACAACAATTTTGACATGAGGTGGCCCTCCAGGACCACAAGCCTTGTATGCTCTGTTAGGACACAAACCCACATTAGATTCAACATTGATAAATGGTAGATAACAAATAAAGATGACATTAGAGCACTATAACTTTCAATTTCAGATTGCTACTAGAAGGCACTACTATTATGAGTATTAATATACAGAAAAATAATTAATAAGATCAAAAAGAATCTTGAATGTGCAAAAGAATAGAAACTTTCTTTAAATCACACCGATCATGACCAAGTGTTTTGATATAGCACATTGGATTCTGGATGGTTTTAATAGGTCTTGGCATCATAAAACATACACACAATACAATACAAGCAGTTATTCATCTCAGGAGATATTTTAACATCGATACTAGTGAAGAGTCGGCCTGTGCGAACTGAGCACACCGCAGTGTTCATATAATGACTACTCAAGTGAGGTAACACTGCCCCCTAGTGGCGGTAATTAGCATTACCTCTCCACCAAGGGAT